TGTTGGAATATAAAGTGAATATCTGTAAGTCCAGTGGTTAAAAGCGTAAAAAACGTAATTAAATATTGAAAAAATAATCTCCGTACCTTAGTTTTTAAGTTTCTGATTTAGGAAATGAAGCCTTTTGGAGAGTTGAGATCACTTTTAGTCTCCTGTTAGGGGTTAAAGGTGTTTTATTAAATCTGATTTCAGTGTCAAATACAGCTTTTGGGTTCTTTATTAGATGTAGTTAGGGTACATTTTACTTAGGGTTTGGGTTAGAATCTAAGTTTTGCCCCAAAATACAAAAGCACAGATAAGATTTTGTACTTTTTGACCCCAAATTGAAGTGGTTATTGTGGCCCTAACACTACTCTGGATGAGTCTCTGCATATGAAGCAAATCCAGGTGCCAGTTTCCGTTTTAAATATATTTTTTGCCCACGCAATATGTTCTTAATGGGTGCACGCAGTGGAGACAGGAAAGAGAGGAGCGACAGTACTGTATGTGACGGAGGATATGAGCTGGATTCACACCAGCAGTATTGTGAGGACATGTTCTCTCTGTGCACCGCAGGAAGTTTGGATGTGTGGTTTGTTTTTATCAGAGCAGCGCGGTTGGGAGGAACTCAGCTGCTGGGAAACAACCGAAAACAGAACGAGAGAAGAGGGGGGGGATGAAGAAAGTCAGATGGAAATCTCTGACTGTTTACCAAACACTTTGGAAAGCTATAGCTATTTAAGTTTGACTCCCTTTAATTCTGACAAGCAAATGCTTAGCCTAACAAGCTCTACAAATGACCACAAATGTTCTTAATAATAGGTGCATCTCCCTCACTCCTCCCAAACAAAGAAGGGTCGGATTTCACTCAATTGTCCCTTCAAGGCTCCCTTACAGTCAAGGTTGCAAAGAAAAAACAAAAAACTTGTATCGTGCCTTCCTTTAGTAGATTATAATGAATATTGGGTATGGAATTAATCGGCAGATGCTCCGGTTCAAAATGGGGTAAAACCCATCTATGGATGTCAGTTTTTGACTCGCGACAATGTCAATTAAAAAGGTTGTAAACCAACGTCACCACAAGAGGATACGATATCCAATAACGGCTTTTAACCATGAAAATACAAACTCAGAACAGCAAGAAACCTGCAAGTGCATTAGCTTCAAATAAGTCAAACCATTGTAGGTAATAATATTCTATTTAAAGGTAGGGTAGGTAAGTTTGAGAAACCGGCTCGAGATACACTTTTTGTTATATTCCATGGAATGCTCTTAACATCCCGATAGCAATGAATATCTGAAGTGCTTTGACAAAAAATACATAAAAAAATATCATCTGTGGAAGCCGTAGTACTGTAAAAAGCACGACCAATCATCTGAGCCGGCCCGGCTAAAATAACTGGATGGCCTACCTGCCTGTCAGCCTTCCATCGGGGCACAAACTTATCTCGTGCCCTCATTGGTCATGTGCGCGTTCGTGTGTGTTGGAGGAGGGGCTCTGTAAGGAAGTGGCAGATTTTTTCCAGCTGTGTATTTTCAAATTCTAGCGATCTCGAGCTGGTTTCTCCAAAATTACCTACCCCACCTTTAATATTAGATTTGAATGGCAGTGGAAACAGGTGGGTTTTCAGTCTACGGCTCAGCATGTGACTTTCTGCAGTCCTGATATCAATAGGGAGCTAGTTCTCTCATTTTGGAGCGAGGACAGCAAACAGGCAAACAAATACAACAAATAAAAGTCTTCCTTATTTCGTGGCATGACACTCTTCTTGTGTTTTTCCATCATAGTACCTTTCTTTGAAGCCAGATATCTATATCCTCAAAAATGTGTTCGCGAATGCAAGAACGCATAAAGCTAACTTTCCTAGACTCCCAGATCAAAAGGCACAGCATATCAAACGCTACAGATGTTCTTGGAGAAGCCGTAACACAACAAGTAGGACGGACAATTTCTTTAAGGGAAACAAAACAAATACATTTATAAAAAGGCAATCCATATGCCCGGCGTCCAATCAGAGACTTTAACCGGCCTTTTGACCCCTGTGGCTATTCTTAGGAAGCCCCGTATTGTTGATCCACTCACAGATTGGCTCCAGTGCGATCACAATGGGGGGTCAATCAGGATCAGCTAACCGCTAACAGACAATACAAGCCGACCGGGAGGGTTAATGACTTTCGACCCGGCGGCTCGAGTCCTGGTCTGAACCACAAAAGGAACGTTTACTGGTGTTTGCATAAGATATTGGAGCATAATAAGTGTTCATTGTGCGGGTTATCTGCAGTGTAATATTTTGTCTGGTAATCAGGGAATATTACAGCACTATTGTTGATGTGACTGGCCCGCTGTGACTGATGTTTGTGTTTTTTAGACTACTATATTTAACCTTTTAGACATGGCAGAGACGGAGCACATGCCCTCTTGGGTACTGAGGAAAAAATATAAAGTTGATTTGATACTAAAAGGAAATATTTGAAACTAAATCAAACCAACAGAAATATGTTTGGCTCGATATCTGGGAGATTCGAGCAGATAAAACAAACTAAAACGACTGATTTTCCAAGACTAGATGAAGCATTATTTATTTTATATACAGATATATGTCAGATAAGGACATTTATTTTAGTTTCCCATAAATCCCTTTATTTGGTGAAGCTTCCTAAGTGGTAGTTTCCCATTTGTTTTGGTGGAAATTCATAATACAATGAAACGCAAAAAAAAAAAAAATGCTATATAATGGGCCAGTACATTATCTGACTGTAATGAATGTGGTTTTTGTCTACAGTAGAGCAGACGGTTGGACACACACACACACACACACACACACACACACACACACACACACACACACACACACACACACACACACACACACACACACACACACACACACACACACACACACACACACACACACACACACCACACACACACACACACACACACACACACACACACACACACACACACACACACACACACACACACACACACACACACACACACACACACACACACACACACACACACACACACACACACACACACACACACACACAAAATGGGTACAAAGGTAGTTTTTGTTCCCCGTGTCGCTGGAACTTTAGCTTTGCTTGGTCATCATGGATAAATGCCCCTCTTATCGAGCACAACGGGCACAGACGGGGCCACTCACACACACACATACTCACACACACTCACACACACACAAACACATATCCGTGTAAAGTTGTGCAGTGGTTTAGCAGAAAATGACCTTCAAAATAGATATATTTTAGCTTATAAAATGGTAAAAGAAGCCGATAAGGATTTTAATAAGCCAGTTTGGGAAAGTGATTGCGTGTGTATGAGTGTGTGTGTGTGTGTGTGTGTGTCCTCGTCTTCATCATCTGCGGCAGCTGCCCGCACTGATAGTTGCTTTGTTTTCAGTGAGTGCTTCTTAATGAGGTCAAAGGCTATGTAGGGCCATTGGACGCTGACAAGGAGAAACAAGAGGCACCTTCATCACGCTCGGAACACACACTCTCGCGTAAGACACACACATGTACACACACACTCGCAGCTATTCATTACATTTGACCAAGACAAGGTCCAAAAATCAGTAGCTGGAGAAAGAGACTCTTTGTGTGTGTGTGAGAGTATCGGCGCAGGAAGACAGACGGCTGAACTGATTTCTATTTGCAGAGAGGATGGCTCTATTTGATTAAGCAGTTAGCGTAATGAGAAAATCAGCGCTCACACACGTCCTCTCTCTTACACACATAAATCATCGGGATGTTTTGCTTCCTTGAGAAGGTAAACCCGAGAGTTTCCACTCACATCTCAGTCGGTTCATTTGTTTACGTTCACTATATGACCTTATTATGGGGAATAACAACATTAAGCTCAATTTAAAGTGTTTATGGTTTACTGCGACGTGATTGGTCCAATCAGCGGCGGTCTAAATGTTGTTAATGGCACTCGTGGAAAGTAACTAAGTGTTTGACATACTTAAATTGAGTAAATATTCTACTTTAGTCCACTAAATGTATCAAAAACTCATAGTTACTAGCTACTTTTCACATATAAAAACACATGACATATTTCAAATATGATGCCGTACTGAATTACTAATATACCCAGTATTTTAGTACATCATTAAACAGAAAACTTTAATATTGTGCATACTGTGTACTTGTAATACTTTAAGTACAATTGTATGATAATACTTCTGTACTCAATACTTGTACCTTTACTTGAGTAGTTCCATTTTATACTACAACTTGCTCTATTGTACTTTTTACTCCACTAGATTTATCAGACAGCTTCAGTTGCTAGTTTTTTTAAATTGTATTTATATTATAAGCTAATAAATAATCACTGACTGAGATATAACTATGGGTTAAGATATCCAGCGGCAGTGTATACAGTAATTAAAATGAACTCCACATATAACAATAATCCAGTGGTTTAATTGATATGATTCTGAAATGGGAGTACTTTTGATACTTGAAGTATATCTCAAAGCTACTACTTTTGTACTTTTACAGAAGTTACATTTTCATTTTAGGAGTTTTACTTTGCAATAGAGTATTTTCAGAATAAAGAGATGCACTGATTAGCCTTAAAGACATTTTGGTTCATGCACAACATGGTGAACTATGTGAATTGAAGTGTAGATTTCCCCTTTAATGACGGCACAATAAAAGTCCCCCTTGATGCCAGAGGAGATGGAGAGACTGTTTGATGAGGCAGACAGAGAGGAACTGTCAACACTCGAACCCTTCTCTCTCTCTCTCTGCCTCACACACACTGCGTCTGAGTCACCTGCAGACAAACCCCTTTATTGAGAAGCAGGCGGCCATCTTTGATTAGCAGGAGTGACTCAGCAGACAGTGAACACAAGAGGGTGTGTTTGTGGGGGTTTTTATGCGCGTGTGTGTTGGCCTGCGATTCTGTGTGACAGTACGATGAATGGGCGTGATTGTGCTCATGTGGGAATATGTGTGACTGTGTGTGTGTGTGTGTGTGTGTGTTGTCGTACCTCGTGGTCCGGTATCTCGGAGGAGAGAGTCTTTCCCAGCACGGCGGCCGTCAGGTAGGTCCAACATCGGGCCGTGTTAGCCAGGTTATAACCTCCTGGAGAGGCACATCAAAAAAAGATCCTGAAATACTTTTATTTCAAATAGATCTAGTCTTATGATAATCAAGTAAATAATAGGGTTGATACTGTCTATTGATTTGGATTGATATATCGATTCAACAACCCATGATGCTAACAACAAAACATATCATCATCTTCAAGACACGTCCTTATTTTGAAATTCCTTAAACATGAGAAATGTTGCTCTTTATAGTTTTTTGTTGAAAGGAATAAATTAAATAAATAAACAGGACAGAAATTGCACTTTGAAGTTAATTTATTTGTGTTTAACTTTTCATGTAAATGTTAGTAAGCGTCCAGTTATAAAAGTGTATGTGGATTTAAGTCGATTTTTAGGAGTTTATATCAATGTGACTGATGGTGTTTAATGGGCATATGACATCGTCTCAATATCGTCTAATATCAATAACAAGTCCCTGATTTCAAGTGATTCTAAATGTTACCGTGGCAGATAGAAAATCATATCAATTTAATATTGTATTGTGTAAAAACTAGTGATTTACAGCCAAAAGAACCAGAAGCTCACAAGACACATTATTAAGTCAGAAAAGTTTCCATCCCTCTCTTTCTCTCACACACACACACACACAAAGTGAAGGATGAAGAGAGGATGGTTTTGGAGTGAAATCAAGAGAATGACAAGAAGGAGAGGAGGATATAACGGAGGGAAAGTATGTAGGACAGAGAGCGAGGAAGAGAGGTGGGATTGTAGTTGAGGAAAATGGCTTCATTGTGTCAGAGAAGTAGTAGCTATCATCTGGCCGAGGGCTGAAGGGCCTGGAACAGAGCATGGTGTGTGTGTCCGTGTGTGTGTCCGTGTGTGTGTGTGTGTGTGTGTGATTCTCTCCAACACTGTAAGTTTCCCCTTTGTGGGTCCAATAAAGGTATTTCGGATTCCAATTCTGACAAAAACCCACAGGGGTGAGGATAATAAACGCGTTGTACCTCCTCCCAGCAGCAGCGTGGGTAGCTGCCACTGCAGGACGTGCTGCAGACACTTGCCCACCCCCACTGGGGTCATGTTGAAGGAACACATGGGGTCCCCCGCCATGGTGTCGGCCCCCAGCTGCATGACCATGGCCTCCGGGTTGAACTGCGCCCGCGCTTCCTGCATCACGCTGGGGAACGACAGAGAGGTAAACATGTCAGGAACCGCTGATGATGCACAGTGACGCATTTCAGAGTTTAAACACCTACTTGTTCTCGTGTGTGTGTGTGTGTGTGTGTGTGTGTGTGTGTGTGTGTGTGTGTGTGTGTGTGTGTGTGTGTGTGTGTGTGTCCATGTGTATGTGTGTGTGTCCATGTGTATGTGTGTGTGTGTATGTCCATGTGTGTGTGTGTGTGTGTGTATGTGTATGTGTGTGTGTATGTCCATGTGTGTGTGTGTGTGTGTGTGTGTGTGTGTGTGTGTCCATGTGTATGTGTGTGTGTGTGTGTGTGTGTGTGTGTGTCCATGTGTATGTGTGTGTGTATGTGTATGTGTGTGTGTGTGTATGTCCATGTATGTGTGTGTGTGTCCATGTGTGTGTGTGTGTGTCCATGTGTATGTGTGTGTGTGTCCATGTGTATGTGTGTGTATGTGTATGTGTATATGTCCATGTGTGTGTGTGTGTGTGTGTGTGTCCATGTGTATGTGTGTGTGTCCATGTGTATGTGTGTGTGTGTGTGTGTGTATGTGTATGTGTATGTGTGTGTGTGTATGTCCATGTGTGTGTGTGTGTGTGTGTCCATGTGTATGTGTGTGTGTGTATGTGTATGTGTGTGTGTGTATGTCCATGTATGTGTGTGTGTGTCCATGTGTGTGTGTGTGTGTCCATGTGTATGTGTGTGTGTGTCCATGTGTATGTGTGTGTGTGTGTGTATGTGTGTGTATGTGTATGTGTATATGTCTATGTGTGTGTGTGTGTGTGTGTGTGTGTGTGTGTGTGTGTGTGTGTGTGTGTCCATGTGTATGTGTGTGTGTGTATGTATGTGTATGTGTATATGTCCATGTGTGTGTGTGTGTGTGTGTGTGTGTGTGTGTGTGTGTGTGTGTGTCCATGTGTATGTGTGTGTGTCCATGTGTATGTGTGTGTGTGTGTGTGTGTGTGTATGTGTATGTGTATGTGTGTATGTCCATGTGTGTGTGTGTGTGTGTGTCCATGTGTATGTGTGTGTGTCCATGTGTATGTGTGTGTGTGTGTGTGTGTATGTGTATGTGTATGTGTGTGTGTGTATGTCCATGTGTGTGTGTGTGTGTGTGTCCATGTGTATGTGTGTGTGTGTATGTGTATGTGTGTGTGTGTATGTCCATGTATGTGTGTGTGTGTCCATGTGTGTGTGTGTGTGTCCATGTGTATGTGTGTGTGTGTCCATGTGTATGTGTGTGTGTGTGTGTATGTGTGTGTATGTGTATGTGTATATGTCTATGTGTGTGTGTGTGTGTGTGTGTGTGTGTGTGTGTGTGTGTGTGTGTGTCCATGTGTATGTGTGTGTGTGTATGTATGTGTATGTGTATATGTCCATGTGTGTGTGTGTGTGTGTGTGTGTGTGTGTGTGTGTGTGTGTGTGTGTCCATGTGTATGTGTGTGTGTCCATGTGTATGTGTGTGTGTGTGTGTGTGTGTATGTGTATGTGTATGTGTGTATGTCCATGTGTGTGTGTGTGTGTGTGTCCATGTGTATGTGTGTGTGTGTATGTGTATGTGTGTGTGTGTATGTATGTCCATGTGTGTCCTGCTGAAGTCCTTGTTTCAGGATAAAATATAACAAAATGTTAATAAATCAATCAATCAAAAGCCAAATCACCCTCTTCATCCACCAGGTGCACTGAATACCAAAAACCACACCCAGGTGACAATTACAGGAAATTACCAAAACAAATGTGTGCAGTCTAACCAAATAATGATCATAATAGGAATAATAAACAACAGCTAAACAAACATTGTGGCTCCCACAGCACAAATAATTTGATATACTGCTGCTCCAGAAATAACCACTAGCTAAAATAATCCCAGAATCCTTCACTTCTAAAACAACAACACATTCTTTCCCCGAAAATTGAGAAGTTACATTTTTCAAAATCCAATGAGTCCTCAGTTAGATTAAGGAAGAAATCCCCCTGCTGAAGTGTCCTTGATAAAACGCTGATAGTGCTTTTGCTCCAAGGCACTGCTCTACGTTGGCCCTGACCTTTGACCTCTGGGTGGGGAACATAGGATTACTCTGAAGGGATCCTTGAGGAGATGGGGGAATTCCTAATACTTTACTCTCTCTCTGTGTGTGTGTGTGTGTGTGTGTGTGTGTGTGTGTGTGTGTGTGTGTGTGTGTGTGTGTGTGTGTGTGTGTGTGTGTGTGTGTGTGTGTGTGTGTGTGTGTGTGTGTGTGTGTGTGTGTGTGTGTGTGTGTGTGTGTGTGTGCTGTGTGTGTGTGTGTGTGTGTGTGTGTGTGTGTGTGTGTGTGTGTGTGTGTGTGTGTGTGTGTGTGTGTGTGTGTGTGTGTGTGTGTGTGTACCTGGTAAAAATCTGGTAGTATCTGTCGTCCTTGATGCCGTCCTCCAGTGGGACGTTCACGGCGTACCATCGTCCTTTACCCAGCCCCGTGTCACACAGGTCCCCCGTACCTACACACACACACACACACACACACACACTTATCTTACACTGTCTCACATTGCAGGTTATCTTGTTAAAATGTATTGTGAGTGTCTGTGAGGAAGGACCTGGGAAGAAGCCGGGGGAGAACTTGTGAAACGAGATGGTCATGACTTTGGATGTGAAGCTGAAGGCGTCTTCCACACCTGAGAGAGAGGAGAGGGAATAATTAATGACAGAAAATGTGGAATATCTGGGTACTTTATCAGAGTTAGAATCAGAATACTCCATTTAAACCTAAGTTGTTAAAACGTGCACATTGTAGAACATGTACAATACAAACAGTTGTGTATTAGCTATAATACGATATGAATGCTACATTGCTCAGTTCAAAAGGTTTGGCTGCTCATGGTGAAGTTATAATAATATGATTCAACCTGTTCACCTTCACCTGGTATCGCTGTAGGTTTCTCAGAAAGGGGAACTTGTGTCACTGAATTTCCACCTGATAATGAATATGATACATAAACCGATTTAAGTTCTGCTTTGTTGTTAGAGTGCGTACCGTCTCCATGATGCAGATCCACGTCCACATACAGAACCCTCTCGTACTTCTCCCTCAGTTTGAGGATTCCCAGCACAGCATCGTTCACGTAACAGAAACCTGACGCCTCATCCCTGGAGAGACAGAGGGGGAAATAAATAAACCTGTGAGCTTTGAGAGTCTTTTCCTGCAGCGCCCCCCTCAGGCTGTAAAATGACATCATCAGAACGTTAACATGACATCATCAGAACGTGACACCATGACATCATCAGAACGTTACCATGACATCATCAGAACGTTACCATGACATCATCAGAACGTGACACCATGACATCATCAGAACGTTAATATGACATCATCAGAACGTTACCATGACATCATCAGAACGTGACACCATGACATCATCAGAACGTGACACCATGACATCATCAGAACGTTAATATGACATCATCAGAACATGACACCATGACATCATCAGAACGTTACCATGACCTCATCAGAACGTTATCATGACATCATCAGAACGTTAACATGACATCATCAGAACGTGACACCATGACATCATCAGAACGTTACCATGACATCATCAGAACGTTACCATGACATCATCAGAACGTTACCATGACATCATCAGAACATTAACATGACATCATCAGGCTGTAACAGGAACTGATGAGGACTCTTGTATGTAGTTAGTAATGTCCATATATTTTCTGTCTGAAGACTTACTTCTTGGCGTGGTGCCAGCCTCCTGCCCAGTTTACAGACACTTCACACTTTTGGTCCATCAGACACTGAGCTGCTGTCAGTGTAGCGCCCCCTACTGCTGCCGCGTAGTCATAAATCCCCTCCACCACGGGACAGTCGTAACCTGGACAGAGAGAAACACATGAAAAAAAGTTAAATGGTAAATGGACTGTACTTATATAGCGCTTTATCCAGTCTTTTAAGACCCCTCAAAGTGCTTTACATACTACATGTCATTCACCCATGCACACCCATTCATACAGAGCAGTGTACCCTACCTAGAGTAGGACCTAACATTCACACACCGTTGGCCATCGGGAGCAACTCAGGGTTAAGTATCTTGCCCAAGGATACATTGACATGTTGACTTAAAAGATAATTGCTGGAGTAATTTGGCTGGCAAGATCATTTTTATCCTTTAAAACGTACTTTTTAAAGACAGTTCTTTTATGTAAATCACTTCTTCTGTTTCCCTCATGTTTCCTTTTATTTATTTGTGTCTTTTATTGCTTTTTCTTTTGAGTTTTATTATATGTAAAGTCATTTTTAGCAGTGTTTTTAGACAACTGCAACATAAATCAGGTTTTTATGATCAAAATATGCAATTGAGTGGGGTGGGGAATCTCCGGCCTCTGGGCCGTATACGGACCGCGAGACCATTTGGTACGGCCCTCGAGGTAATTAATTAACACACGCAAAAAAGAAAAAAATTAAAGAAATCTAGACCGCAACATAATTAAACAAGAGAGTGCCTGTTTTTCCTGGCCAAGGTCAGGTTCCTTGAACACAACACGAGCCTAACGTGTCATCACGTGGTATTTGTCTCGTCTGACAGCGGTGCAGTTCTGACGGAGAGCACCAGAACGCCGCTCCGGGCCGGCACTTCAGAAATGGCAGTACCCATAGAGTGGCGAAGTCCCTCCCCTTCCGGTGGACCTCCATGGGACCTTATTTCGGAAAAATTATGTATTGAAGTCAATGGAGAGAGAAAGATTATCTTTCGATCCCGTTTGAATTGTGCCACGAATTACACATATGATGTTTGTCAATTTAAAAGATAATTTTGCAAGTCAAAAAAAAAAAATGTGTCGTAAAACTGTGAAGTAACACATTTGTTTGTGTGAAACGCTCAATGAACTACATCTCTGGTCTCACAGAACAACACACGTCACCAAGATGGCCGTCACTACTGTCAACAAAACGATTGGCTACCCTCACTATCACCACAATGAAACACGTCCTGAAGAATGTCATGCAAAGCTGCCTGCCTGCCTTCTCTCTGAACTGCCTGGTCGTTTTAATGTTTAATGTCAACCATTTGTGCAGATAGCATGAAGTAGAGAAGATCGCTAGCGTTAGCGTTAGCATTTCTCCCCCGGGCTTAAATTGTGTATTATAGAATGATCACACCGGTGACAGTACTATTCAAAGGGTTCACGAAATATGACTACTACTATTACTGTTTAACATGTTGGGTTACTTCATGTTACTTCATGTTAAGGCTAATAAAAATGACACGGCTGTAATGCTAACTAACGTGCTAGCTACTAGCTAGCTTGATCCAGACACTCCTAGTCCTTTCATCAGACGGGAACATAGACTGTATATATAAAGTCGGGAAGACGGGAAGCGAAAGAACGAGCAAGACCCATTGCTGGTATAATAACAACCTGGTACTAAGCACACAGGCATCTTGTTAAAGTTATCTTATCTTAGCGGAGGAAAACAATCGTGACATCACTTGCGCGACTCTGGGATTTGTAGTCTTTCTAGTTACGTATTTTTCATAGTCTTATATTTCAACAGTTTTACGACAAACTGTGACTTTTTTGACATGGAAATGGTTTTTTAAGATTGACAAACATCATATGTGTAATTCATGGCACAATTCAAACGGGATCGAAAGATAAGTTTTCTCTCCCCATTGACTTCAATGCATAATTTTTCCGAAATAAGGTCCCATTACCCGGAAGTAAGTGGGCGTGACTTCGCCACTCTATAAGGAGCCGTACACATGCCGCAGTTTTTGCGTGGCTGTGTCTTTAGTTGAAAGCCCAGTGGCGTCTGTTCATCGGTCATACTGATCATACAGTCAATTACTTTGTTGTTATTAGCATCTGATTAGCTAGCTATGCTAACGAATATAAGAAGCTTCTACGACCAGTGAGGTAAAGGCACATCTTGATATGATCATTATAGTTATAAAAAAATAAGAGAATAAAGTAAACAGGTGTAAAATACTATATGACAGTAAAAGTTGTTATTAATAAACAAGAATACAGTTTGAGAGGGGAGTGATTTGTGAAATATCCATAAAGAAAAATAAAATCTGCTTACAGTTCTGTTTCATATGGATGTTGAGAGATGTATCCATAGATCTCTTCATGTTGCTCTCAAAGTGCACCAGATTGATGCTTTTAACTTCAACATTTAAAAAAAAATCTTCCCGGAGCCCCCTAGAGGAAGTTAGGTCCCCCCCCCCCCTTAAATCATGTCCACATGGATAGGAAACTAAATACATTTGCACACATCTTGTGTCAATATCTTTCTGTTTTGGTGGTCATGCCACAACCGTGCACGTGCATGCATGCGCGAGTCATGGTGAGATATCTGGATTAAGAGGTTGCTTTTTCTTTGCACAGCATGAAAGAAAGGCCAAATGAATGGGCTGTGATTTTAGTATTTTTAAGCAGAGGTCAATAATTTGTACGGCCCTCGGAGGATGTTGCAAAAATTGAAATGGCCCTTGAGAGGAAAAAGGTTCCCCACCCCTGAGTTAAATAAACAATAAATAAATAAAACAGAAAATATATGTGCATAGATTTTCAGTTGATTTATCTATTTGAAGGGCTGGGAATTAAAATAATAAGGAAGTAGTTAGATGGAGAAATGGGAAACAGAGGAGAATGAGAAATTAGACAAAACAGACATGGGTGAGATAATAGGAAATGAGGGAGACAGAAATTAGGGAGGTAAGTCAACATTATGGATGGAAACAAAAGACTGATGTAAAATAAATGACAGAGAGACATTTCTCAATCAAGACGGAAGGATGAACCTGGGAGAGGTGTGCAGAAAACAAAAGGAGGAAGCGACAGAGGGATCAGTCGAGGACATCAAGAGGAGCCATGAGGGATGGGGGCGAATAACAACAAGGAGGGAGACAGCTAGGGAACGAGTCAAGGAAAGGAAAACAAGGAGGGTGAACTTGAGGATTGGTCTGAAGTTAGAAAAGTAAACTTGAGAGAAGCATGGGCTGCTCCAAGAACAACAAACCATGGTGGGATTTTTAAATAATTCCCACCCGATTAAGGGTTAGGTGAGGTGAGGGTGTGTTTTATCTGTATTGCAATCTCAAGCAAAGTACAAAAACAATGTGAAAGGACAGTTAGTTGCTATGAAGATTATACTTTAGCTTAGGGCACTGAGAAGAAAAGTTACCCTTAATAAAGCTGTTATTATTGTTTTTGAAGCTTGTGTTATAGTGCCCCCTGTTGCCGACAAAGCAGAACTGCATAGCACTTCTCAAAAAGTCATATAGCAGTAATTGTTTCCACTTGAAACCCTCTATTTTTCATCTAATGCTTCCATAAATCTGTCTGTAGTGAATGAACAGATTCTGATAACAAATGGGATTGTGTAGAGGCTCTTCGTGGCTCTTCTCACCCAGGCCGTAGTCTCCGGACTGCGGGTCGTCGTTGTCTCCGTCCTGGCTGATCTTGTGAAGATGCTCCAGGTAAGAGTCTGTGTGGAACTTGGCCATGTCCTCGATGGTCGCTACCTGAGGTTTAACGACGCTGCAGGGAAGGAAAAGAAAATAATATGAATGGTGCATGCTTTAGTGTTGTATAAGCACACAGTGGTAGAGGAAGTCTTTGTCAATAAAAATCCAGTGACAAAAAAGCCAAAAGTAAGACAGCCACACCTTAACAACATTCAATATTTAAGAAGTATTTGGATTACAGCTATACAGTAGGTTTTGTGTAATTTTATAGAAGCTTTTACATTTTTCTTTCCAAAAACATCCATGATATTTACTGGGAGGATGAATAGACTCTTATGTGGTTGTAAGGGATGTGGTTAGGGCAGCAAAGTGTAATCCTGAAAAGACTGAGGTCGTTTTACAAGGAGTTAGCTCCACCTAAAAAGATAAGTAATAAGATCAGCTTCAAAATAGTAAATCAAAGACATTGACTCCAGTTTGACAGACACATCAGTTTCCTTCAGAACATCATGGTTATGTTACAAAGTTAAATTAGTCAATTCAAAAAGTTATTTATCAGCATCCACTTGATTTTAAGGAGTACTTTTAAAAGGTTAGCACTACAGGAAGCACCTAGGTAAACATACTTGTTCGTCTGTGAAGCAACCTTATGTGATGCTATTTCTCTGTTATTAAAATGTGTTTTAATAGCTCTGTTAAACTAAGAAACCAACATTAGCTTCACTCACCTCATGTGTTTAAGGAGTCCGTAGGCTTCTATCAGTGAGTGGACCATACTTGCCTGGAAATGAGCAGAGAATTACATTTAAATATTGAAAATGATAACAACAAAGCAGAACCAGTGAGTAAAACGCCTCACAGTGAACTAACGTTTCATGAATGTAACTCACCCTGTTTGGTACTTTGGATAAACTATCGCAAGTCTGGATGTATTCCGGGCTGTAAACATAAGCCACCTTCCGCTTACAGCTGCTGCTGTCATCATCGCTGTCTCCGCTGCAACTCATTTACGATGAATTAAAGATATTTAAAGGAGAATAAACGGAGCTAAAAAACAATTTACAATGAAGGGATGCAAGCGTCTTCTCCAGTGTGGTGTTACACCGTCAACAGTCGGTGTAACACCACTACCGGTCTGTTAGAAAAATATATGACGATTAAAAAAATAAAAATATATACATTTATATTATGATTTGTTATCAATTTAAATATTTGTACTGTTTTTGACAATTTTGGCAGTGAATAAAGGGGAGGAATTCTTCCTAACGGTCAGAAATTTGAATCCAACGGTCCGAGTTCGGACGTTTTTAAAAGTAGAACGTATGAGGAGCGAGGAGCATTCTGGGATTTCTTGTAGTCTTTTCACTTTTTGTAATAATAGCTTAGGTTTTAAAAGTGTTTAAGTGCCGCTTTAGATTAATTAAGGCCACACTTTCATATTTAATGCATTTAAAGTTAATTGACTTTGGTTGATAAGGTTTATTAAAGTTTAAAGTATGTTTATAAAATGTAGGCAAATATATGACGTCCTTGCTTTTCGCTAGAGGACGCTAAAAACAGTGGTTTTATTTTTGTATTCATTTATTCATTTACAAACCTAGATCAGAAACATAGATCAAATCAAATAAACTGAAATTGAAATTACAAGACAAAACAAAAAAGAAATTGCTGATTTGTAGTAACCACATTTAATTCACATTGACACAATATTTTCTCCTTATTTTATTAATCACTAACCATCTAATGCTGGATTATGCATGTGTAAAACCTCTAAATGTGCTTTACAAGTTGGAGAAAGGCTGTTTCGTTCTGTTTTTAATTCAGTTTACTTCCTAGTTCAATTTGACAGCACACAGTTATGCACTTTTGAGCTTTTATATTATTCTTAAATATCTGTAATGATGTACAAGTTTGATGTATGACTTTAATTCTGAGTACAATAGTGTGCAAACTACATTCAGTGGAGTAACCTACACTAGTGTCAAGTTATTTACAACAATTAATAGCATTTCCGGTTCAAAACTCAAAATAAAACATGTATTATAACTGATACCAATGAATACAGTGAAATTAAAATGTATTTGTATGTATTTATTTATATAAAATAACGTGCATCAGAGACACTATTCATATTTGTTTACAGTTCATTTTAAGCGATTTTAAACAGTTTTAGAAAGGGGAAGCTTGGCCCTTTCCACTGCAATAAAATAATAGAAATTGGTAATTTAAAAAAAAGATACACCTCCCAGATAGTGGTCTACAAGGTAATGTATACTATTAATATTCTTATTAGTATTAGTAGTAGTAGTAGTAGTAGTAGTGGTAGTAGTAGTAGTAATAGTAGTGGTAGTGGTAGTAGTAGTAGTAGTAGTAGTAGTAGTAGTAGTAGTAGTAGTAGTAGTAGTAGTAGTAGTGGTAGTAGTAGTAGTAGTAGTAGTAGTAGTAGTAGTAGTGGTAGTAGTGGTAGTAGTGGTAGTGGTAGTAGTAGTAGTAGTGGTAGTGGTAGTGTAGTAGTGGTAGTAGTAGTAGTAGTAGTAGTAGTAGTAGTAGTAGTAGTAGTAGCAGTAGTAGTAATAGTAGTGGTAGTGGTAGTAGTAGTAGTAGTAGTAGTAGTAGTAGTAGTATAGTAGTGGTAGTAGTAGTAGTAGTAGTAGTAGTGGTAGTAGTGGTAGTAGTGGTAGTGGTAGTAGTAGTAGTAGTGGTAGTGGTAGTGGGTAGTAGTGGTAGTAGTAGTAGTAGTAGTAGTAGTAGTAGTAGTAGTAGTAGTAGTAGTAGTAGTAGTAGTAGTGGTAGTAGTAGTAGTGGTAGTGGTAGTAGTAGTAGTAGTAGTAGTAAGTAATAGTAGTAGTAGTAGTAGTAGTGTTGCCTATATATTGTGGAAGAGGGACTGCTCAGAAAACAGTGCATCCTGCCAGCATCCCTTCAGCCTCCCCCTCATCATATGCATCAAAAAGCCTTGAAAAAAACGAGTAATACAAACAAACGTAACCAATCTAACAAAAAGACTGTAAAAAAAAACCTCAAACACAAGAATGTAAAATAGGCGTCATGTCAGCCATAAACTCAACAAAAATCCCTTTATACCAATACCAAAAACGGAATGTATCATCATAAAAAATAAAATAACACATGATTGTAGTCTTAATACAGATGGAGGGAGAATGGAAATCAGAAGCAACCAATGAAATACACTTGGTAACATATTACTTCAAACTATCTTATTAGATCTTGTTAGAAAGGTGCATAACGTCACATGACGTGTATTGATTATCAGCTAGAATTGATTCCTGTGTGCCTTATTTTGTATCCTCTAAATATTTGCTGTTTCATGAAAATATCGTTATTTTATGTGGTACAGACATTGATGTGCCTTGTAAATATGGTTGACATGATTTCAAGACGTGTAAAGATCTTGTTTAACCTTTTAAGATCCACAGTGTTCTTTAGTTATCTGACAGGCAGTCTAACTAAGGGGTTAACGACAGATTGCAACTCTTAAACCACACCTTTTCCTGGAATGAAGGCGAGTTGTATAACCCACACACAGTCGACTTCATTGACTGGCTATGCGAGGCTCCTCCTGCTCAAAGTCTACACAGCTCAGACGTTGTTCCTCCCCTTTCACAGATTTGACAGTTTGAAGATGGGTGTAAGCACCACGTGGTGACGTGTAAGTACTGCAAATCCCATACGTTGTAGATCAGTGATTCAACATCAGGAAACAGAAAGTGAAACTTACAGACATTCACTGTCGTCGAGGAGAAATGGCGCAGCAAGTGAGTTTGGGTCGGGAAAAACTGAGCTGTTCGATCTGTCTGGATATTCTAAAGGATCCGGTAGCTATCCCCTGTGGGCATAATTATTGCATGAGCTGTATTAAAGACTGCTGGGGTAAGGAGAATGAGGAGAAAACCTACAGCTGCCCACAGTGCAGGCAGAGCTTCAAACCGAGGCCTGCCCTGGTGAAAAATACCATGCTTGCAGAGTTAGTGGAGGAACTGAAGAAAATAGGGCTTCAAGATGCTTCACCTGATCTTTCCATTGCAAAACCTGGAGATGTGGTCTGTGATTACTGCTACGGGGTAAAGCTGAAAGCCTTCAAGTCCTGTCTGGTGTGTATGGCCTCTTTCTGTGAGCAACACCTCCAACCTCACTTTGATGTAGCTCCATTAAAGAAACACAAGTTGGTTGAAGCCACCTCAAAGCTTCAGGAGAACATCTGCTCTCGTCACGACGAGGTGATGAAGATTTTCTGCCGCACTGATCAGCAGTGCATCTGTTATCTCTGCTCCATGGATGACCACAAAGGCCATGACACCGTCTCCGCTGCAGCAGAGAGGGCTGACAGGCAGAAGGAGCTCGGGGTGAGCCGGGGAAAAGTCCAACAGAGAGCCCAGGACAGAGAGAAAGACGTCAAGGCGCTTCAACAGAGGGTGGAGGCTATCAATGGCTCTGCTGATGAAGCAGTGAGGGACAGTGAGAAGATCTTCACTGAGCTCATTCATCTCATTGAGAAAAGAAGCTCTGAGGTGAAGCAGAAGATCAGATCCCAGCAGAAAACCCAAGTGAGTCAAGCTCAAGATCTTGAGGAGAAGCTGCAGCAGGAGATCACTGAGCTGCGGAGGAAAGACGCTGAGCTGCTGCAGCTCTCTCACACCGAGGACCACCTGCATTTCCTAAACAACTACCCCTCACTGTCACGTCTGAGTGAGTCTGAAGACTTACCCAGCATTGATATCTGTCCCCTGCGCTTATTTGAGGATGTGACCGCGGCGGTGTCAAAGACCAGAGATAAACTGCAGGGTGTTGTGACTGAGGAGTGGGAAAACATCTCTCTGGCAGTGACTGGAGTGGATGTTTTAATGACCCAAGCAGAGCCCAGAACCAGAGCTGAATTCAGGACATATTCTCGTCAAATCACATTGGATCCAAATACAGCAGACAGGCTGTTGTCATTGAGTGACGGGAACAGGAAAGCAACACGAATGAACGTAGATCAGTCATATTCTGCTCACCCAGACAGATTTGTTGAAAGACGTCAGGTCCTGAGTACAGAGGGTCTAACTGGACGTTGTTACTGGGAGGTGGAGTGGAGCGGGAAAGCTTTTATAGCAGTGGCATACAAGGATATTAACAGAACTGGGACAGGTAATGACTGTGGATTTGGATATAATAACAAATCTTGGGCATTAGTGTGTAACATTGGCGGTAAATATACATTCTACCATCGATATATTTCTACTCCCGTCTCAGGCCCTCCGTCCTCCAGAATAGGAGTGTACCTGGATCACAGAGCAGGTTCTCTCTCTTTCTACAGCGTGTCTGACACCATGACCCTCCTCCACAGAGAGCAGACCACCTTCACTCAGCCTCTCTATCCTGGGTTTTGGCTTTGGCAAGGTCCTGGAAGCTCAGCGGAGTTGTGTGAGCTGAAGTAGGCGGAAGTTTAAATAGAGCAAGTTTAGTTTAGCATACTCAGCCCGACTCAGCCCTGTTTGTTGGCCCCGATAGAACCACAATTTTGTCGGGCCAGAAAAGAGGTGAAAAAGTGGCCCCGGGCCGGGCCGGGCCGTACCTAGGCCTAGTGGAAGCGCAACCAAAAACGGGCACGGCACGACACGGCACGCTTAAACCGCGCTCCGCGCCATGGTGGAAATGCGCCATAACACGGCTGGGACTGGGATTTTCCCTGTTTGATTTTTTGTCTGTGTATTTCTATTTTAATTTAGATAAAACAATCTTGTTTGAAGTTGTGATTTGTACGTTATATTTTCTCAACATTTGAATTACATAATATGCTTGGAAAAGTCCAATATTTACAAAATGTCTAATCTAATTTGATATAAACAGGTGTAATTATGTAAAAATGTATGACGAATGTATTTGGATTCTTTATAACATGTCAAATATAATTTAGTATGACACATAATGGTGTCTGTACTGCATTCTATGTTGCTCTAGTTCTGATAATACAAATTTCCATCTATTTTGTTAATATGACCGCAAAAGTAAGGGTACAATTTCAATGTAAACTTTTTAAGGGTAAATTCATCTGTCTTTACATTGTAACACGTTTTAGGAATCATTTATAAAAAGTATATGTTCAAATCTGTACAAATAAATGAATAAATCGATGAATTGTCACCATTTTATCAGCAAACTTCTATTATTTAAAAGATTACTTTTGTCCGTTTTTTTCTACTGAGTTTAAATCATTCAGTTTTTCAGATATTTTGGTAACACAAATATACAGGTAGATAAATCAACCCTATTTGTGAAATGCTGGTTCTTTTGCAAAGGAAAACATTTCAAGACAATATTTCAAAGTGTGTGATTTTCTGAGTTATTCCACAACAATCATGCAGGAATAAAATAGGAATGATAGAAAGCTTTACAGGCTTCACATTGTCTCAAAAACACTCGATAGGAGAGTTAAAGTTTGGGAAATCATACAGACAACATACCATGTGTTGCTTTATTGCTGAAGATAGTGAGAAGAGTGTTGTGTTTTAGTAAAAAGACATTAATGAAGCAAGGGACAGAGGATACGGGTACTAAGCTCTTTACTGTTGTTCATGCTTAACCGCCACAGCATCAACTCCCGGGCATACAGTTATTCTCTCAACATTGTATGTTACTATGGTTACACTGCGCCCCCTATTGGCAGGAGTATATCAGAACACAACAAAGAGTACATCACTCCAAAAATAATAAAGGAAATATAACAAAGTATGAATGTGTGTGCACTGATTTAACTTACAGCGTAATGACAGGAATTTGTATAAATTAGGCATATTATTGAGTCTTTAGGTAAACCAACTTCCATAAACATCCATATCCCTTTTGTGTTGTCTTCATTCGGAGGTCCATATCCAAAATGTCAGTTCAGTTCAAATGTCGGTCAGAAAGAAAAAAGTACTTTGCATGATGTCAGGACCTCGACACAAACTGATGAACCCAAATGCACGACCCAGAGACAAAGTCTTGAATATAAAAAAAGTATATTTATTTTCACAGTGCAGGTAATCCCTCTTAACAGAGTAGGTGGTGGAAATAACAAAAGGCGCTCACAAGGAGGAAAAAACTAGCGTAACAAAAAGAGGACTTAATAAAAACTTAAGCCAACAAAAATAAACAAAATAACAAAACCTGACATGAGTGAAAAGCGATCCTTTCTGAGCTGAGGCTTGGCACGACCATTCGTTTCCAATTGACTTTGGTTGATAAGGTTTATTAAAGTTTAAAGTATGTTTATAAAATGTGGACAAATATATGACGTCCTTGCTTTTCGCTAGAGGACGCTAAAAACAGTGGTTTTATTTTTGTATTCATTTATTCATTTACAAACCTAGATCAGAAACATAGATCAAATCAAATAAACTGAAATTGAAATTACAAGACAAAACAAAAAAGAAATTGCTGAGTTGTAGTAACCACATTTAATTCACATCGACTCAATATTTTCTCCTTATTTTATTAATCACTAATCATCTAATGCTGGATCTGGATTATGCATGTGTAAAACCTCTAAATGTACAAGTTGGAGAAAGGCTGTTTCGTTCTGTTTTTAATTCAGTTGACTTCCTAGTTAAATTTGACAGCACACAGTTATGCACTTTTGAGCTTTTATATTATTCTTAAATATCTGTAATGATGTACAAGTTTGATGTATGACTTTAATTCTGAGTACAATAGTGTGCAAACTACATTCAGTGGAGTAACCTACACTAGTGTCAAGTTATTTACAACAATTAATAGCATTTCCGGTTCAAAACTCAAAATAAAACATGTATTATAACTGATACCAATGAATACAGTGAAATTAATATGTATTTGTATGTATTTATTTATATAAAAGAACGTGCATCAGAGACACTATTCATATTTGTTTGCAGTTCATTTTAAGCGATTTTCAACAGTTTTATAAAGGGGAAGCTTGGCCCTTTCCACTGCAATAAAATAATAGAAATTGGTAATTTAAAAAAAAAATACACCTCCCAGATGGTGGTCTATAAGCTAATGTATACTATTAATATTCTGATTAGTAGTAGTAGTAGTGGTAGTGGTAGTGGTAGTGGTAGTGGTAGTGGTAGTGGTAGTAGTAGTAGTAGTAGTAGTAGTAGGAGTAGGAGTAGTCGTAGTGGTGGTGGTGGTAGTGGTAGTAGTGGTAGTAGTGTAGTAGTAGTAGTAGTAGTGGTAGTAGTGGTAGTAGTAGTAGTAGTGGTAGTGGTAGTAGTAGTAGTAGTAGTAGTAGTAGTAGTAGTAGTAGTAGTAGTAGTAGTAGTAGTAGCAGTAGTAATAGTAGTAGTAGTAGTAGTAGTAGTAGTGTTGCCTATATATTGTGAAAGAGGGACTGCTCAGAAAACAGTGCATCCTGCCAGCATCCCTTCAGCCTCCCCCTCATCATATGCATCAAAAAGCCTTGAAAAAAACGAGTAATACAAACAAACATAACCAATCGAACACAAAGACTGTAAAAAAAAAACTCAAACACAAGAATGTAAAACAGGCGTCATGTCAGCCATAAACTCAACTAAAATCCCTTTATACCAATACCAAAAACAGAATGTATCATCATCAAAAATAAAATAACATAAGATTGTAACGTCTTAATACAGATGGAGGGAGAATGGAAATCAGAAGCAACCAATGAAATACACTTTGTAACATATTACTTCAAACTATCTTATTAGATATTGTTAGAAAAGTGCATAACGTCACATGACGTGTATTGATTATCAGCTAGAATTGATTCCTGTGTGCCTTATTTTGTATTCTCTAAATATTTGCTGTTTCATGAAAATATCGTTATTTTATGTGGTACAGACATTGATGTGCCTTGTAAATATGGTTGACATGATTTCAAGACGTGTAAAGATCTTGTCTAACCTTTTAAGATCCACAGTTTTCTTTAGTTATCTGACAGGCAGACTAACTAAGGGGTTAACGACAGATTGCAACTCTTAAACCACTCCTTTTCCTGGAATGAAGGCGAGTTGTATAACCCACACACAGTCGACTTCATTTACTGGCTATGCGAGGCTCCTCCTGCTCAAAGTCGACACAGCTCAGACGTTGTTCCTCCCCTTTCACAGTGTTGACAGTTTGAAGATGGGTGTAAGCACCATGTGGTGACGTGTAAGTACTGCAAATCCCATACGTTGTAGATCAGTGATTCAACATCAGGAAACAGAAAGTGAAACTTACTGACATTCACTGTCGTAGAGGAGAAATGGCGCAGCAAGTGAGTTTGGGGTCGGGAAAAACTGAGCTGTTCGATCTGTCTGGATATTCTAAAGGATCCGGTAACTATTCCCTGTGGGCATAATTATTGCATGAGCTGTATTAAAGACTGCTGGGGTAAGGAGAATGAGGAGAAAACCTACAGCTGCCCACAGTGCCGTCAGAGCTTCACACCGAGGCCTGCCCTGGTGAAAAATACCATGCTTGCAGAGTTAGTGGAGGAACTGAAGAAAACAGGGCTTCAAGATGCTTCACCTGATCTTTCCATTGCAAAACCTGGAGATGTGGTCTGTGATTTCTGCTCCGGGGTGAAGCTGAAAGCCTTCAAGTCCTGTCTGGTGTGTATGGCCTCTTTCTGTGAGCAACACCTCCAACCTCACTTTGATGTAGCTCCATTAAAGAAACACAAGTTGGTTGAAGCCACCTCAAAGCTTCAGGAGAACATCTGCTCTCGTCACGACGAGGTGATGAAGATTTTCTGCCGCACTGATCAGCAGTGCATCTGTTATCTCTGCTCCATGGATGACCACAAAGGCCATGACACCGTCTCCGCTGCAGCAGAGAGGGCTGACAGGCAGAAGGAGCTCGGGGTGAGCCGGGGAAAAGTCCAACAGAGAGCCCAGGACAGAGAGAAAGACGTCAAGGCGCTTCAACAGAGGGTGGAGGCTATCAATGGCTCTGCTGATGAAGCAGTGAGGGACAGTGAGAAGATCTTCACTGAGCTCATTCATCTCATTGAGAAAAGAAGCTCTGAGGTGAAGCAGAAGATCAGATCCCAGCAGAAAACCCAAGTGAGTCAAGCTCAAGATCTTGAGGAGAAGCTGCAGCAGGAGATCACTGAGCTGCGGAGGAAAGACGCTGAGCTGCTGCACCTCTCTCACACAGAGGACCACCTGCATTTCCTAAACAACTACCCCTCACTGTCACGTCTGAGTGAGTCTGAAGACTTACCCAGCATTGATATCTGTCCTCTGCGCTTATTTGAGGACGTGACCCGCGGCGGTGTCAAAGACCAGAGATAAACTGCAGGGTGTTGTGACTGAGGAGTGGGAAAACATCTCTCTGGCAGTGACTGGAGTGGATGTTTTAATGACCCAAGCAGAGCCCAGAACCAGAGCTGAATTCAGGACATATTCTCGTCAAATCACATTGGATCCAAATACAGCACACAGGCAGTTGTCATTGAGTGACGGGAACAGGAAAGCAACACTAATGAAAGTAGATCAGTCATATTCTGCTCACCCAGACAGATTTGGTGGTTATTGGCAGGTCCTGAGTACAGAGGGTCTAACTGGACGTTGTTACTGGGAGGTGGAGAGGAGCGGGAAAGCTCTTATAGCAGTGGCATACAAGGATATTAACAGAACTGGGACACTTAAGGAATGTGCATTTGGAAATAACAAATCTTGGGCATTAGAGTGTAACATTGGCGGTAAATATACATTCTTCCATCGATATATTTCTACTCCCGTCTCAGGCCCTCCGTCCTCCAGAATAGGAGTGTACCTGGATCACAGAGCAGGTTCTCTCTCTTTCTACAGCGTGTCTGACACCATGACCCTCCTCCACAGAGAGCAGACCACCTTCACTCAGCCTCTCTATCCTGGGTTTGGGCTTTCAAACCCTTCTGGAAGCTCAGCTGAGTTGTGTGAGCTGAAGTAGGCGGAAGTTTAAATAGAGCAACTACACAGAGCAACTACAATATGTCCGGACTCTAACACGGCTGGGACTGGGATTTTCCCTGTTTGATTTTTTGTCTGTGTATTTCTATTTTAATTTAGATAAAACAATCTTGTTGGTTGAAGTTGTGATTTGTACGTTATATTTTCTCAACATTTTCATTACATAATATGCTTGGAAAAGTCCAACATTTACAAAATGTCTAATCTAATTTGATATAAACAGGTGTAATTATGTAAAAATGTATGACGAATGTATTTGGATTCTTTATAACATGTAAAATATAATTTAGTATGACACATAATGGTGTCTGTACTGCATTCTATGTTGCTCTAGTTCTGATAATACAAATTTCCATCTATTTTGTTAATATGACCGCAAAAGTAAGGGTACAATTTCAATGTAAACTTTTTAAGGGTAAATTCATCTGTCTTTACATTGTAACACGTTTTAGGAATCATTTATAAAAAGTATATGTTCAAATCTGTACAAATAAATGAATAAATCGATGCGTTGTCACCATTTTATCAGCAAACTTCTATTATTCAAAAAATTACTTTTGTCAGTTTTTTTCTACTGAGTTTCAATCATTCAGTTTTTCAGATATTTTGTTAACACAAATATACAGGTAGATAAATCAACCCTATTTGTGAAATGCTGGTTCTTTTGCAAAGGAAAACATTTCAAGACAATATTTCAAAGTGTGTGATTTTCTGAGTTATTCCACAACAATCATGCAGGAATAAAATAGGAATTATAGAAAGCTTTACAGGCTTCACATTGTCTCAAAAACACTCGATAGGTGAGTTAAAGTTTGGGAAATCATACAGACAACATACCATGTGTTGCTTTATTGCTGAAGATAGTGAGAAGAGTGTTGTGTATTAGTAAAAAGACATTAATGAAGCAAGGGACAGAGGATACGGGTACTAAGCTCTTTACTGTTGTTCATGCTTAACCGCCACAGCATCAACTCCCGGGCATACAGTTATTCTCTCAACATTGTATGTTACTATGGTTACACTGCGCCCCCTGTTGGCAGGAGTATATCAGAACACAACAAAGAGTACATCACTCCAAAAATAATAAAGGAAATATAACAAAGTATGAATTTGTGTGCACTGATTTAACTTACAGCTTAATGACAGGAATTAGTATAAATTAGGCATATTATTGAGTCTTTAGGTAAACCAACTTCCATAAACATCCGTATCCCTTTTGTGTTGTCTTCATTCGGAGGTCCATATCCAAAATGTCAGTTCAGTTCAAATGTCGGTCAGAAAGAAAAAAGTACTTTGCATGATGTCAGGACCTCGACACAAACTGATGAACCCAAATGCACGACCCAGAGGCAAAGTCTTGAATATAAAAAAAGTATATTTATTTTCACAGTGCAGGTAATCCCTCTTAACAGAGTAGGTGGTGGAAATAACAAAAGGCGCTCACAAGGAGGAAAAAACTAGCATAACAAAAAGAGGACTTAATAAAAACTTAAGCCAACAAAAATAACAAAACCTGACATGAGTGAAAAGCGATCCTTTCAAAGCTGAGGCTTGGCACGACCATTCGGGGAAACAAACAAGACGAACTGACACAGGACAGGGGAGAGACAGGACTATTTAAACATGAGGTGAGTGGGAACAGGTGGAAACAATCCGGGGCGGGGCAGACACTGATGATGGCGGGAAAAACACACAGGGGGAGGAAGAAACAGGGCCTGAAATGAAAGACAAGAGGTAAGTACAAAATAAAACAGGAAATGACAAAATACATAAACACAACTAACACATTTGACGAGACACAACACATGACATGCGTTCCTACACCTTATCCCAAATCATTTAAATAAGAGCTCAGAGCTACTCAGTGAAACAGACGTACACAGGGAGCTCTGAGGCGACTCTTTACATGCTGACAAAATCAGTCGCACTGATAACTCGCTCTTTAAAACAAGTCTGAAAAACGAATATCTCCGATAATAGGACAAAAGTGTTCAGATGTTAAAGTCCTGCTTTAATTGTTACTCAAATCTTAACCATGTCAAACAATGTGTCATTAACATTGTATCTCAATACATTTTCTTTCATCAGTCTTCCTAATAAGATTACACATGTTCTTTCCATGTTCTAAGTTGAATAAATAATTACTGTTACAGGTAAGGACATCTTAATTAAAATCACATTGACACAAAATATGAAAAATCCAACAAAGAGTTGATCACCAGGATTTGGTTTACACATTATCCAGCTACCAATGATTATTTGACTTTAGGTTTTTGTTGTTGTTTATTAGTCATCTTTTGAACTGTCTTTCCCAAAAGCCAAAGACATTTTTGGGAATATGAATTAACATTAAAATAAGTACCAAGATCAAAGGTCAAAGATTGTATGGATTTACAGAAATGAGTGGAACTAGCCCCTGTTCCACCAGCAACACCTCCTGGGAGCTAACGCTGTTGAATGTTGAATACATACACTTTTTTATGTTGATTTAAAGACTTGGTGCTTTTAAGTGCAAAAGGAAAAACCCAAGTTAGACACTTAAATGTGAATATAAATGTCAATAACGTGTCAGTTTTTAAAAAGCAACGTTAAAGTGCAGAAGCTTGAGGAACATAGGCCCCCTTAAACATGGAGCAGGAGAGATTAAGTCCTTTTTCAAAGCAGACATTTGACCTGGTAAAGAAACAAATAATGATGTGTTGCTCATTCACAGTTCAATCAGGAGAGACTTCATTTTGTTTAAAGAACATTCATTGACACATGTCATATGATAAATGTTAAGTCTTTGGCGATTAGACCCCGATCCTGAAATCATATATCTAAAGGGGGAAATGCAGCCGTGAGCATATAGGGAACCCCCCGGGGTCTAGACACTGGTGATGATGCTGAAGATCTGGATTTGATGAGGAGATGGGATGAAGAGGAGGTGTGATGAGGTCTTTGGATTAACTCTCCTGGCACTGGATATGATGAAAGGAGGTGGATGGGGAGGAGGCGGGCCGCAGCATGACAACCTGAAATCACAGCTGACTAAAGGAGAGAGGAGAACCATTTTAAAGTTTGGCTGCAGCACAGTGATTGGCTGCTGGAGAATGAGGTGAATGTAATGGGTTATAGACAACGCCCGTGATGAGCTGATTATATGCAGCTGCGGAGTGAATGTATATATACCCAGTCTTCCTGAAAGAACTTGCGCTGAGCTTCATTTAATTCAAGTGTCTCAGAAATCAGTGACACATGGTGACAGTGAATTTTATACTGTGACAGTCCAAGACGTCTTATATGTTCATTTAATTCATTTCTTATTTTAACAGTTACTTACCTGAATATAATTGTATCTTTAATTGTAATAATTTGTGTGATCTATCTTGTGTGAATCTGCTGTTTTTCAATCTCCAGTGTTGCTGTTTAAACTCCTGAATTTCCCCACAGGGATTAATAAAGGTCTATCTTATCTTATCTTACTCACAGGAATACATTGTGGGGAAACTAGACATCTTTTTCTATTCAATATATGGATTTCTTGGCCTGTAATAAAGCTGTTATTATTGTTTTTGAAGCTTGTGTTATAGTGCCCCCTGTTGGCGACAAAGCAGAACTGCATAGCTCTTCTCAAAAAGTCATATAGCAGTAATTGTTTCCACTTGAAACCCTTTATTTTTCATCTAATGCTTCCATAAATCTGTCTGTAGTGAATGTGAAAGATTAATTTGAGACAGAAAATGTGTTGAGTGTTCTCCTGTAACCTGAATTTGCTGTCCTTCACAATAAACTGCATACATTGTCATTTATATAAAATGATCTCAGCCTAAAAGGTAGTTTCTCATTAGAAACTCTACTAAATTCATACAAAGCAGCATTTCAGGTGGTTCAAATGAACAGATTCTGATAACAAATGGGATTGTGTAGAGGCTCTTCGTGGCTCTTCTCACCCAGGCCGTAGTCTCCGGACTGCGGGTCGTCGTTGTCTCCGTCCTGGCTGATCTTGTGAAGATGATCCAGATAAGAGTCTGTGTGGAACTTGGCCATGTCCTCGATGGTCGCTACCCTGAGGTTTAACGACGTTGCGGGGAATGAAAAGAAAATAATGAGTGGTGCAGGCTTTAGTGTTGTATAAGCAAACAGTGGCAGAGGAAGTCTTTGTCAATAAAAATCCAGTGACAAAAAAGCCAAAAGTAAGACAGCTACATCTTAACAACATTCAATATTTAAGAAGTATTTGGATTACAGCTATAGGTTTTGTGTAATTTTATAGAAGCTTCTACATTTTTCTTTCCAAAAACATCCATGATATTTACTGGGAGGATGAATAGACTTGTATATGGTTGTAAGGGATGTGGTTAGGGCAGCAAAGTGTAATCCTTAAAAGACTGAGGTCGTTTTACAAGGAGTTAGCTCCACCTAAAAAGATAAGTAATAAGATCAGCTTAAAAATAGTAAATCAAAGACATTGACGAAAAGTTATTTATCAGCATCCACTTGATTTTAAGGAGTACTTTTAAAAGGTTAGCACTACAGGAAGCACCTAGGTAAACATACTTCTTGTTCGTCTGTAAAGCAACCTTATGTGATGCTATTTCTCTGTTATTAAAATGTGTTTTAATAGCTCTGTTAAACTAAGAAACCAACATTAGCTTCACTCACCTCATGTGTTTAAGGAGTCCGTAGGCTTCTATCAGTGAGTGGACCATACTTGCCTGGAAATGAGCAGAGAATTTCATTTAAATATTGAAAATGATAACAACAAAGCAGAACCAGTGAGTAAAACGCCTCACAGTGAACTAACGTTTCAAGGTAACTCACCCTGTTTGGTACTTTGGATAAACTATCGCAAGTCTGGATGTATTCCGGGCTGTAAACATAAGCCACCTTCCGTTTACAGCTGCTGTCATCATCGCTGTCTCCGCTGCAACTAATTTACGATGAATTAAAGATATTTAAAGGAGAATAAACGGAGCTAAAAAACAATTTACAATGAAGGGATGCAAGCGTATTCTCCAGTGTGGTGTTACACCGTCAACAGTCGGTGTAACACCACTACCGGTCTGTTAGAAAAAGATATGACGATTACAAAAATAAAATATATGCATTTATATTGTGATTTGTTATCAATTTAAATATATTTACTGTTTTTGAAAATGTTGGCAACGAATAAAGGGGAGGAATTCTTCCTAACGGTCAAAAATTTGAATCCAACGGTCCGAGTTCGGATGTTTTTTTAAGTAGAACGTATGAGGAGCGAGGAGCATTCTTGTAGTCTTTTCACTTTTTGTAATGCTTAGGTTTGACTTCGCCTCCCCACTGTCGACTTCATTTACTGGCTATCCGAGGCTCCTCCTGCTCAAAGTCTACACAGCTCAGACGTTGTTCCTCCCCTTTCACAGATTTGACAGTTTAAAGATGGGTGTAAGCACCACGTGGTGACGTGTAAGTGCTGCAAATCCCATACGTTGTAGATCAGTGATTGAACATCAGGAAACAGAAAGTGAAACTTACTGACATTCACTGTCGTAGAGGAGAAATGGCGCAGCAAGTGAGTTTGGGTCGGGAAAAACGGAGCTGTTCGATCTGTCTGGATATTCTAAAGGATCCGGTAACTATTCCCTGTGGGCATAGTTATTGCATGAGCTGTATTAAAGACTGCTGGGGTAAGGAGAATGAGGAGGAAAACCTACAGCTGCCCACAGTGCAGGCAGAGCTTCAAAACCGAGGCCTGCCCTGGTGAAAAATACCATGCTTGCAGAGTTAGTGGAGGAACTGAAGAAAACAGGGCTTCAAGATGCTTCACCTGATCTTTCCATTGCAAAACCTGGAGATGTGGTCTGTGATTTCTGCTCCGGGGTGAAGCTGAAAGCCTTCAAGTCCTGTCTGGTGTGTATGGCCTCTTTCTGTGAGCAACACCTCCAACCTCACTTTGATGTAGCTCCATTAAAGAAACACAAGTTGGTTGAAGCCACCTCAAAGCTTCAGGAGAACATCTGCTCTCGTCACGACGAGGTGATGAAGATTTTCTGCCGCACTGATCAGCAGTGCATCTGTTATCTCTGCTCCATGGATGACCACAAAGGCCATGACACCGTCTCCGCTGCAGCAGAGAGGGCTGACAGGCAGAAGGAGCTCGGGGTGAGCCGGGGAAAAGTCCAACAGAGAGCCCAGGACAGAGAGAAAGACGTCAAGGCGCTTCAACAGAGGGTGGAGGCTATCAATGGCTCTGCTGATGAAGCAGTGAGGGACAGTGAGAAGATCTTCACTGAGCTCATTCATCTCATTGAGAAAAGAAGCTCTGAGGTGAAGCAGAAGATCAGATCCCAGCAGAAAACCCAAGTGAGTCAAGCTCAAGATCTTGAGGAGAAGCTGCAGCAGGAGATCACTGAGCTGCGGAGGAAAGACGCTGAGCTGCTGCAGCTCTCTCACACCGAGGACCACCTGCATTTCCTAAACAACTACCCCTCACTGTCACGTCTGAGTGAGTCTGAAGACTTACCCAGCATTGATATCTGTCCTCTGCGCTTATTTGAGGACGTGACCGCGGCGGTGTCAAAGACCAGAGATAAACTGCAGGGTGTTGTGACTGAGGAGTGGGAAAACATCTCTCTGGCAGTGACTGGAGTGGATGTTTTAATGACCCAAGCAGAGCCCAGAACCAGAGCTGAATTCAGGACATATTCTCGTCAAATCACATTGGATCCAAATACAGCACAGAGGCAGTTGTCATTGAGTGACGGGAACAGGAAAGCAACACGAATGAAAGTAGATCAGTCATATTCTGCTCACCCAGACAGATTTGTTGAAAGATGGCAGGTCCTGAGTACAGAGGGTCTAACTGGACGTTGTTACTGGGAGGTGGAGTGGAGCGGGAGAGCTTTTATAGCAGTGGCATACAAGGATATTAACAGAACTGGGACATTTAATGAATGTGTATTTGGATGTAATAACAAATCTTGGGCATTAGATTGTAACATTCGCGGTAAATATATATTCTACCATCGACTTATTTCTACTTCCGTCTCAGGCCCTCCGTCCTCCAGAATAGGAGTGTACCTGGATCACAGAGCAGGTTCTCTCTCTTTCTACAGCGTGTCTGACACCATGACCCTCCTCCACAGAGAGCAGACCACCTTCACTCAGCCTCTCTATCCTGGGTTTTGGCTTCCACACAATCCTGGTGAAACAGCTGAGTTGTGTGAGCTGAAGTAGGCGGAAGTTTAAATAGAGCAACTACACAGAGCAACTACAATATGTCCGGACTCTAACACGGCTGGGACTGGGATTTTCCCTGTTTGATTTTTTTGTCTGTGTATTTCTATTTTAATTTAGATAAAACAATCTTGTTTGGTTGAAGTTGTGATTTGTACGTTATATTTTCTCAACATTTTCATTACATAATATGCTTGGGAAAAGTACAACATTTACAAAATGTCTAATCTAATTTTATATAAACAGGTGTAATTATATAAAAATGTATGACGAATGTATTTGGATTCTTTATAACATGTAAAATATAAGTTAGTATGACACATAATGGTGTCTGTACTGCATTCTATGTTGCTCTAATTCTGATAATACAAATTTCCACCTATTTTATTAATATGACCGCAAAAGTAAGGGTACAATTTCAATGTAAACTTTTTAAGGGTAAATTCATCTGTCTTTACATTGTAACACGTTTTAGGAATCATTTATAAAAAAGTATATGTTCAAATCTGTACAAATAAATGAATAAATCGATGAGTTGTCACCATTTTATCAGCAAACTTCTATTATTTAAAACATTACTTTTGTCCGTTTTTTTCTACTGAGTTTCAATCATTCAGTTTTTAAGATATTTTGGTAACACAAATATACAGGTAGATAAATCAACCCTATTTGTGAAATGCTGGTTCTTTTGCAAAGGAAAACATTTCAAGACAATATTTCAAAGTGTGTGATTTTCTGAGTTATTCCACAACAATCATGCAGGAATAAAATAGGAATTATAGAAAGCTTTACAGGCTTCACATTGTCTCAAAAACACTCGATAGGAGAGTTAAAGTTTGGGAAATCATACAGACAACATACCATGTGTTGCTTTATTGCTGAAGATAGTGAGAAGAGTGTTGTGTATTAGTAAAAAGACATGAATGAAGCAAGGGACAGAGGATACGGGTACTAAGCTCTTTACTGTTGTTCATGCTTAACCGCCACAGCATCAACTCCCGGGCATACAGTTATTCTCTCAACATTGTATGTTACTATGGTTACACTGCGCCCCCTATTGGCAGGAGTATATCAGAACACAACAAAGAGTACATCACTCCAAAAATAATAAAGGAAATATAACAAAGTATGAATTTGTGTGCACTGATTTAACTTACAGCTTAATGACAGGAATTAGTATAAATTAGGCATATTATTGAGTCTTTAGGTAAACCAACTTCCATAAACATCCGTATCCCTTTTGTGTTGTCTTCATTCGGAGGTCCATATCCAAAATGTCAGTTCAGTTCAAATGTCGGTCAGAAAGAAAAAAGTACTTTGCATGATGTCAGGACCTCGACACAAACTGATGAACCCAAATGCACGACCCAGAGGCAAAGTCTTGAATATAAAAAAAGTATATTTATTTTCACAGTGCAGGTAATCCCTCTTAACAGAGTAGGTGGTGGAAATAACAAAAGGTGCTCACAAGGAGGAAACAACTAGCATAACAAAAAGAGGACTTAATAAAAACTTAAGCCAACAAAACTAAACAATAACAAAACTTGACATGAGAGAAAAGCGATCCTTTCTGAGCTGAGGCTTGGCACGACCATTCGGGGAAACAAACAAGACGAACTGACACAGGACAGGGGAGAGACAGGACTATTTAAACATGAGGTGAGTGGGAACAGGTGGAAACAATCCGGGGCGGGGCAGACACTGATGATGGCGGGAAAAACACACAGGGGGAGGAAGAAGAAACAGGGGCCTGACATGAAAGACAAGAGGTAAGTACAAAATAAAACAGGAAATGACAAAATACATAAACACAACTAACACATTTGACGAGACACAACACATGACATACGTTCCTACACCTTATCCCAAATCATTTAAATAAGAGCTCAGAGCTACTCAGTGAAAACAGACGTACACAGGGAGCCCTGAGGCGACTCTTTACATGCTGACAAAATCAGTCGCACTGATAACTCGCTCTTTAAAACAAGTCTGAAAAACGAATATCTCCGATAATAGGATAAAAGTGTTCAGATGTTAAAGTCCTGCTTTAATTGTTACCCCAAATCTTAACCATGTCAAACAATGTGTCATTAACATTTGTATCTCAATACATTTTCTTTCATCAGTCTTTCCTAATAAGATTACACATGTTCTTTCCATGTTCTAAGTTGAATAAATAATTACTGTTACAGGTAAGGACATCTAATTAAAATCACATTGACACAAAATATGAAAAATCCAACAAAGAGTTGATCACCAGGATTTGGTTTACACATTATCCAGCTACCAATGATTATTTGACTTTAGGTTTTTGTTGTTGTTTATTAGTCATCTTTTGAACTGTCTTTCCCAAAAGCCAAAGACATTTTTGGGAATATGAATTAACATTAAAATAAGTACCAAGATCAAAGGTCAAAGATTGTATGGATTTACAGAAATGAGTGGAACTAGCCCCTGTTCCACCAGCAACACCTCCTGGGAGCTAACGCTGTTGAATGTTGAATACATACACTTTTTTTATGTTGATTTAAAGACTTGGTGCTTTTAAGTGCAAAAGGAAAAACCCAAGTTAGACACTTAAATGTGAATATAAATGTCAATAACGTGTCAGTTTTTAAAAAGCAACGTTAAAGTGCAGAAGCTTGAGGAACATAGGCCCCCTTAAACATGGAGCAGGAGAGATTAAGTCCTTTTTCAAAGCAGACATTTGACCTGGTAAAGAAACAAATAATGATGTGTTGCTCATTCACAGTTCAATCAGGAGAGACTTCATTTTTGTTTAAAGAACATTCATTGACACATGTCATATGATAAATGTTAAGTCTTTGGCGATTAGACCCCGATCCTGAAATCGTATATCTAAAGGGGGAAATGCAGCCGTGAGCATATAGGGAACCCCCTGGGGTCTAGAACACTGGTGATGATGCTGAAGATCTGGATTTGATGAGGAGATTGGATGAAGAGGAGGTGTGATGAGGTCTTTGGATTAGCCTCTCTGGCACTGGATATGATGAAAGGAGGTGGATGGGGAGGAGGCGGGCTGCAGCATGACAACCTGAAATCACAGCTGACTGCAGGAGAGAGGAGAACCATTTTAAAGTTTGGCTGCAGCACAGTGATTGGCTGCTGCTGGAGAATGAGGTGAATGTAATGGGTTATAGACAACGCCCGTGATGAGCTGATATATGCAGCTGCGGAGTGAATGTATATATACCCAGTCTTCCTGAAAGAACTTGCGCTGAGCTTCATTTAATTCAAGTGTCTCAGAAATCAGTGACACATGGTGACAGTGAATTTTATACTGTGACAGTCCAAGACGTCTTATATGTTCATTTAATTCATTTCTTATTTTAAACAGTTACTTACCTGAATATAATTGTATCTTTAATTGTAATAATTTGTGTGATCTATCTTGTGTCATGTATCTGTGCTGTTTTTTCAATCTCCAGTGTTGCTGTTTAAACTCCTGAATTTCCCCACAGGGATTAATAAAGGTCTATCTTATCTTATCTTACTCACAGGAATACATTGTGGGGAAAATAGACATCTTTTTCTATTCAAATTTATGGATTTCTTGGCCTGTAATAAAGCTGTTATTATTGTTTTTTGAAGCTTGTGTTATAGTGCCCTCTGTTGCCGACAAAGAAGAACTGCATAGCACTTCTCATAAAGTCATATAGCAGTAATTGTTTCCACTTGAAACCCTTTATTTTTCATCTAATGCTTCCATAAATCTGTCTGTAGTGAATGAACAGATTCTGATAACAAATGGGATTGTGTAGAGGCTCTTCGTGGCTCTTCTCACCCAGGCCGTAGTCTCCGGACTGCGGGTCGTCGTTGTCTCCGTCCTGGCTGATCTTGTGAAGATGCTCCAGATAAGAGTCTGTGTGGAACTTGGCCATGTCCTCGATGGTCGCTACCTGAGGTTTAACGACGCTGCGGGGAAGGAAAAGAAAATAATATGAATGGTGCAAGGCTTTAGTGTTGTATAAGCAAACAGTGGCAGAGGAAGTCTTTGTCAATAAAAATCCAGTGACAAAAAAGCCAAAAGTAAGACAGCCACACCTTAACAACATTCAATATTTAAGAAAGTATTTGGATTACAGCTATAGGTTTTGTGTAATTTTATAGAAGCTTCGACAATTTTCTTCCAAAAACATCCATGATATTTACTGGGAGAATGAATAGACTTGTATATGGTTTGTAAGGGATGTGGTTAGGGCAGCAAAGTGTAATCCTTTAAAACACTGAGGGTCGATTTACAAGAAGTTAGTTCCACCTAAAAAGATAAGTAATAAGATCAGCTTCAAAATAGTAAATCAAAGACATTGACTAAAAGTTATTTATCAGCATCCACTGATTTTAAGGAGTACTTTTAAAAGGTTAGCACTACAGGAAGCACCTAGTAAACATACTTGTTCGTCTGTAAAGGCAACCTTATGTGATGCTATTTCTTCCTGTTATTAAAATGTGTTTTAATAGCTCTGTTAAACTAAGAACCAACATTAGCTTCACTCACCTCATGTGTTTAAGGAGTCCGTAGGCTTCTATCAGTGAGTGGACCATACTTGCCTGGAAATGAGCAGAGAATTACATTTAAATATTGAAAATGATAACAACAAAGCAGAACCAGTGAGTAAAACGCCTCACAGTGAACTAACGTTTCATGAATGTAACTCATCCTGTTTGGTACTTTGGATAAACTATCGCAAGTCTGGATGTATTCCGGGCTGTAAACATAAGCCACCTTCCGCTTACAGCTGCTGTCATCATCGCTGTCTCCGCTGCAACTAATTTACGATGAATTAAAGATATTTAAAGGAGAATAAACGGAGCTAAAAACAATTTACAATGAAGGGATGCAAGCGTCTTCTCCAGTGTGGTGTTACACCGTCAACAGTCGGTGTAACACCACTACCGGTCTGTTAGAAAAAGATATGACGATTACAAAAATAAAATATATACATTTATATTATGATTTGTTATCAATTTAAATATTTGTACTGTTTTTGACAATTTTGGCAACGAATAAAGGGGAGTAATTCTTCCTAACGGTCAACAATTTGAATCCAACGGTCCGAGTTCAGACATTCAGTGTCGTAGAGGAGAAATGGCGCAGCAAGTGAGTTTGGGTCGGGAAAAACTGAGCTGTTCGATCTGTCTGGATATTCTAAAGGATCCGGTAACTATTCCCTGTGGGCATAATTATTGCATGAGCTGTATTAAAGACTGCTGGGGTAAGGAGAATGAGGAGAAAACCTACAGCTGCCCACAGTGCCGTCAGAGCTTCAAACCGAGGCCTGCCCTGGTGAAAAATACCATGCTTGCAGAGTTAGTGGAGGAACTGAAGAAAACAGGGCTTCAAGATGCTTCACCTGATCTTTCCATTGCAAAACCTGGAGATGTGGTCTGTGATTTCTGCTACGGGGTGAAGCTGAAAGCCTTCAAGTCCTGTCTGGTGTGTATGGCCTCTTTCTGTGAGCAACACCTCCAACCTCACTTTGATGTAGCTCCATTAAAGAAACACAGTTGGTTGAAGCCACCTCAAAGCTTCAGGAGAACATCTGCTCTCGTCACGACGAGGTGATGAAGATTTTCTGCCGCACTGATCAGCAGTGCATCTGTTATCTCTGCTCCATGGATGACCACAAAGGCCATGACACCGTCTCCGCTGCAGCAGAGAGGGCTGACGGGCAGAAGGAGCTCGGGGTGAGCCGGGGAAAAGTCCAACAGAGAGCCCAGGACAGAGAGAAAGACGTCAAGGTGCTTCAACAGAGGGTGGAGGCTATCAATGGCTCTGCTGATGAAGCAGTGAGGGACAGTGAGAAGATCTTCACTGAGCTCATTCATCTCATTGAGAAAAGAAGCTCTGAGGTGAAGCAGAAGATCAGATCCCAGCAGAAAACCCAAGTGAGTCAAGCTCAAGATCTTGAGGAGAAGCTGCAGCAGGAGATCACTGAGCTGCGGAGGACAGACGCTGAGCTGCTGCAGCTCTCTCACACCGAGGACCACCTGCATTTCCTAAACAACTACCCCTCACTGTCACGTCTGAGTGAGTCTGAAGACTTACCCAGCATTGATATCTGTCCTCTGCGCTTATTTGAGGAGGACGTGACCGCGGCGGTGTCAAGACCAGAGATAAACTGCAGGTGTTTGTGACTGAGGAGTGGGAAAACATCTCTCTGGCAGTGACTGGAGTGGATGTTTTAATGACCCAAGCAGAGCCCAGAACCAGAGCTGAATTCAGGACATATTCTCGTCAAATCACATTGGATCCAAATACAGCACAGAGGCAGTTGTCATTGAGTGACGGGAACAGGAAAGCAACACTAATGGCAAGCGAACAGTCATATTCTGCTCACCCAGACAGATTTGTTGAAAGATTGCAGGTCCTGAGTACAGAGGGTCTAACTGGACGTTGTTACTGGGAGGTGGAGTGGAGCGGGAAAGCTTTTATAGCAGTGGCATACAAGGATATTAACAGAACTGGGACACTGTATGAATGTGTATTTGGATGTAATAACAAATCTTGGGCATTAGATTGTAACATTGGCGGTAAATATATATTCTACCATCGACATATTTCTACTCCCGTCTCAGGCCCTCCGTCCTCCAGAATAGGAGTGTACCTGGATCACAGAGCAGGTTCTCTCTCTTTCTACAGCGTGTCTGACACCATGACCCTCCTCCACAGAGAGCAGACCACCTTCACTCAGCCTCTCTATCCTGGGTTTTGGCTTTGGCAAGGTCCTGGAAGCTCAGCTGAGTTGTGTGAGCTGAAGTAGGCGGAAGTTTAAATAGAGCAACTACACAGAGCAACTACAATATGTCCGGACTCTAACACGGCTGGGACTGGGATTTTCCCTGTTTGATTTTTTCCCTGTGTATTTCTATTTAAATTTAGATAAACAATCTTTTTGTTGAAGTTCTGATTTGTACGTTATATTTCTCAACATTTTCATTACATAATATGCTTGGAAAAGTCCAAAATTTACAAAATGTCTAATCTAATTTTAATAACAGGTGTAATTATATAAAAATGTATGACGAATGTATTTGGATTCTTTATAACATGTAAAATATAATTTAGTATGACACATAATGGTGTCTGTACTGCATTCTATGTTGCTCTAGTTCTGATAATACAAATTTCCATCTATTTTGTTAATATGACTGCAAAAGTAAGGGTACAATTTCAATGTAAACTTGTTAAGGGTAAATTCATCTGTCTTTACATTGTAACACGTTTTAGGAATCATTTATAAAAAGTATATGTTCAAATCTGTACAAATAAATGAATAAATCGATGAGTTGTCACCATTTTATCAGCAAACTTCTATTATTTAAAAAATTACTTTTGTCCGTTTTTTTCTACTGAGTTTCAATCATTCAGTTTTTAAGATATTTTGGTAACACAAATATACAGGTAGATAAATCAACCCTATTTGTGAAATGCTGGTTCTTTTGCAAAGGAAAACATTTCAAGACAATATTTCAAAGTGTGTGATTTTCTGAGTTATTCCACAACAATCATGCAGGAATAAAATAGGAATGATAGAAAGCTTTACAGGCTTCACATTGTCTCAAAAACACTCGATAGGAGAGTTAAAGTTTGGGAAATCATACAGACAACATACCATGTGTTGCTTTATTGCTGAAGATAGTGAGAAGAGTGTTGTGTATTAGTAAAAACATTAATGAAGCAAGGGACAGAGGATACGGGTACTAAGCTCTTTACTGTTGTTCATGCTTAACCGCCACAGCATCAACTCCCGGGCATACAGTTATTCTCTCAACATTGTATGTTACTATGGTTACACTGCACCCCCTATTGGCAGGAGTATATCAGAACACAACAAAGAGTACATCACTCCAAAAATAATAAAGGAATATAACAAGTATGAATTTGTGTGCACTGATTTAATTTACAGCTTAATGACAGGAATTAGTATAAATTAGGCATATTATTGAGTCTTAGGTAAACCAACTTCCATAAACATCCGTATCCCTTTTGTGTTGTCTTCATTCGGAGGTCCATATCCAAAATGTCAGTTCAGTTCAAATGTCGGTCAGAAAGAAAAAAGTACTTTGCATGATGTCAGGACCTCGACACAACTGATGAACCCAAATGCACGACCCAGAGGCAAAGTCTTGAATAAAAAAAGTATATTTATTTCACAGTGCAGGTAATCCCTCTTACAGAGTAGGTGTGGAAATAAAAAAGGCGCTCACAAGGAGGAAAAACTAGCATAACAAAAAGAGGACTTAATAAAAACTTAAGCCAACAAACAATAACAAAACTTGACACGAGTGAAAAGCGATCCTTTCTGAGCTGAGGCTTGGCACGACCATTCGGGGAAACAAACAAGACGACTGACACAGGACAGGGGAGAGACAGGACTATTTAAACATGAGGTGAGTGGGAACAGGTGGAAACAATCCGGGGCGGGGCAGACACTGATGATGGCGGGAAACACACAGGGGAGGAAGAAACAGGGCCTGAATGAAAGACAAGAGGTAAGTACAAATAAAACAGGAAATGACAAAATACATAAACACAACTAACACATTTGACGAGACACAACACATGACATGCGTTCCTACACCTTATCCCAAATCATTTAAATAAGAGCTCAGAGCTACTCAGTGAAACAGACGTACACAGGGAGCTCTGAGGCGACTCTTTACATGCTGACAAATCAGTCGCACTGATAACTCGCTCTTTAAAACAAGTCTGAAAAACGAATATCTCCGATAATAGGATAAAAGTGTTCAGATGTTAAAGTCCTGCTTTAATTGTTACTCAAATCTTAACCATGTCAAACAATGTGTCATTAACATTTGTATCTCAATACATTTTCTTTCATCAGTCTTCCTAATAAGATTACACATTTTCTTTCCATGTTCTAAGATGAATAAATAATTACTGTTACAGGTAAGGAAATCTTAATTAAAATCACATTGACACAAAATATGAAAAATCCAACAAAGAGTTGATCACCAGGATTTGGTTTACACATTATCCAGCTACCAATGATTATTTGACTTTAGGTGTTTGTTGTTGTTTATTAGTTATCTTTTGAACTGTCTTTCCCAAAAGCCGAAGACATTTTTGGGAATATCAATTAACATTAAAATAAGTACCAAGATCAAAGGTCAAAGATTGTATGGATTTACAGAAATGAGTGGAACTAGCCCCTGTTCCACCAGCAACACCTCCTGGGAGCTAACGCTGTTGAATGTTGAATACATACACTTTTTTATGTTGATTTAAAGACTTGGTGCTTTTAAGTGCAAAAGGAAAAACCCAAGTTAGACACTTAAATGTGAATATAAATGTCAATAACGTGTCAGTTTTTAAAAAGCAACGTAAAGTGCAGAAGCTTGAGGAACAGAGGCTCCCTTAAACATGGAGCAGGAGAGATAAAGTCCTTTTTCAAAGCAGACATTTGACCTGGTAAAGAAACAAATAATGATGTGTTGCTCATTCACAGTTCAATCAGGAGAGACTTCATTTTGTTTAAAGAACATTCATTGACACATGCCATATGATAAATGTTAAGTCTTTGGCGATTAGACCCCGATCCTGAAATCATATATCTAAAGGGGGAAATGCAGCCGTGAGCATATAGGGAACCCCCCGGGGTCTAGACACTGGTGATGATGCTGAAGATCTGGATTTGATGAGGAGATGGGATGAAGAGGAGGTGTGATGAGGTCTTTGGATTAACTCTCCTGGCACTGGATATGATGAAAGGAGGTGGATGGGGAGGAGGCGGGCCGCAGCATGACAACCTGAAATCACAGCTGACTAAAGGAGAGAGGAGAACCATTTTAAAGTTTGGCTGCAGCACAGTGATTGGCTGCTGCTGGAGAATGAGGTGAATGTAATGGGTTATAGACAACGCCCGTGATGAGCTGATTATATGCAGCTGCGGAGTGAATGTATATATACCCAGTCTTCCTGAAAGAACTTGCGCTGAGCTTCATTTAATTCAAGTGTCTCAGAAATCAGTGACACATGGTGACAGTGAATTTTATACTGTGACAGTCCAAGACGTCTTATATGTTCATTTAATTCATTTCTTATTTTAACAGTTACTTACCTGAATATAATTGTATCTTTAAATTGTAATAATTTGTGTGATCTATCTTGTGTGAATCTGCTGTTTTTCAATCTCCAGTGTTGCTGTTTAAACTCCTGAATTTCCCCACAGGGATTAATAAAGGTCTATCTTATCTTATCTTACTCACAGGAATACATTGTGGGGAAAATAGACATCTTTTTCTATTCAATATATGGATTTCTTGGCCTGTAATAAAGCTGTTATTATTGTTTTTGAAGCTTGTGTTATAGTGCCCCCTGTTGGCGACAAAGCAGAACTGCATAGCTCTTCTCAAAAAGTCATATAGCAGTAATTGTTTCCACTTGAAACCCTTTATTTTTCATCTAATGCTTCCATAAATCTGTCTGTAGTGAATGAACAGATTCTGATAACAAATGGCATTGTGTAGAGGCTCTTCGTGGCTCTTCTCACCCAGGCCGTAGTCTCCGGACTGCGGGTCGTCGTTGTCTCCATCCTGGCTGATCTTGTGAAGATGCTCCAGATAAGAGTCTGTGTGGAACTTGGCCATGTCCTCGATGGTCGCTACCTGAGGTTTAACGACGCTGCGGGGAAGGAAAATAAAATAATATGAGTGGTGCAGGCTTTAGTGTTGTATAAGCAAACAGTGGCAGAGGAAGTCTTTGTCAATAAAAATCCAGTGACAAAAAAGCCAAAAGTAAGACAGCCACACCTTAACAACATTCAATATTTAAGAAGTCTTTGGATTACAGCTATAGGTTTTGTGTAATTTTATAGAAGCTTCTACATTTTTCTTTCCAAAAACATCCATGATATTTACTGGGAGGATGAATAGACTTGTATATGGTTGTAAGGGATGTGGTTAGGGCAGCAAAGTGTAATCCTTAAAAGACTGAGGTCGTTTTACAAGGAGTTAGCTCCACCTAAAAAGATAAGTAATAAGATCAGCTTAAAAATAGTAAGTCAAAGCCATTGACTCCAGTTTGACAGACACATCAGTTTCCTTCAGAACATCATGGTTATGTTACAAAGTTAAATTAGTCAATTAAAAAAGTTATGTATCAGCATCCACTTGATTCATTTTAAGGAGTACTTTTAAAAGGTTAGCACTACAGGAAGCACCTAGGTAAACATACTTGTTGTTCGTCTGTAAAGCAACCTTATGTGATGCTATTTCTCTGTTATTAAAATGTGTTTTAATAGCTCTGTTAAACTAAGAAACCAACATTAGCTTCACTCACCTCATGTGTTTAAGGAGTCCGTAGGCTTCTATCAGTGAGTGGACCATACTTTTCTGGAAATGAGCAGAGAATTACATTTAAATATTGAAAATGATAACAACAAAGCAGAACCAGTGAGTAAAACGCCTCACAGTGAACTAACGTTTCAAGGTAACTCATCCTGTTTGGTACTTTGGATAAACTATCGCAAGTCTGGATGTATTCCGGGCTGTAAACATAAGCCACCTTCCGCTTACAGCTACTGCTGTCATCATCGCTGTCTCCGCTGCAACTCATTTACGATGAATTAAAGATATTTAAAGGAGAATAAACGGAGCTAAAAAAACAATTTACAATGAAGGGATGCAAGCGTATTCTCCAGTGTGGTGTTACACCGTCAACAGTCGGTGTAACATCACTGCCAGTCTGTTAGAAAAATATATGACGATTAAAAAAATAAAATATATACATTTATATTATGATTTGTTATCAATTTAAATATTTGTACTGTTTTTGACAATTTTGGCAACGAATAAAGGGGAGGAATTATTCCTAACGGTCAAAAATTTGAATCCAACGGTCCGAGTTCGGACGTTTTTTTAAAGTAGAACGTATGAGGAGATAGGAGCATTCTGGGATTTCTTGTAGTCTTTTCACTTTTTGTAATGCTTAGGTTTTAAAAGTGTTTAATAGTGTTTCACGCCCATCTGGCTCCTCCTGCTCAAAGTCTACACAGCTCAGACGTTGTTCCTCCCCTTTCACAGATTTGACAGTTTAAAGATGGGTGTAAGCACCACGTGGTGACGTGTAAGTGCTGAAAAGCCCATACGTTGTAGATCAGTGATTCAACATCAGGAAACAGAAAGTGAACCTTACTGACATTCACTGTCGTAGAGGAGAAATGGCGCAGCAAGTGAGTTTGGGTCGGGAAAAACTGAGCTGTTCGATCTGTGTGGATATTCTAAAGGATCCGGTAGCCATTCCCTGCGGGCATAGTTATTGCATGAGCTGTATTAAAGACTGCTGGGGTAAGGAGAATGAGGAGAAAACCTACAGCTGCCCACAGTGCCGTCAGAGCTTCAAACCGAGGCCTGCCCTGGTGAAAAATACCATGCTTGCAGAGTTAGTGGAGGAACTGAAGAAAACAGGGCTTCAAGATGCTTCACCTGATCTTTCCATTGCAAAACCTGGAGATGTGGTCTGTGATTTCTGCTACGGGGTGAAGCTGAAAGCCTTCAAGTCCTGTCTGGTGTGTATGGCCTCTTTCTGTGAGCAACACCTCCAACCTCACTTTGATGTAGCTCCATTAAAGAAACACAAGTTGGTTGAAGCCACCTCAAAGCTTCAGGAGAACATCTGCTCTCGTCATGATGAGGTGATGAAGATTTTCTGCCGCACTGATCAGCGGTGCATCTGTTATCTCTGCTCCATGGATGACCACAAAGGCCATGACACCGTCTCCGCTGCAGCAGAGAGGGCTGACAGGCAGAAGGAGCTCGGGGTGAGCCGGGGAAAAGTCCAACAGAGAGCCCAGGACAGAGAGAAAGACGTCAAGGCGCTTCAACAGAGGGTGGAGGCTATCAATGGCTCTGCTGATGAAGCAGTGAGGGACAGTGAGAAGATCTTCACTGAGCTCATTCATCTCATTGAGAAAAGAAGCTCTGAGGTGAAGCAGAAGATCAGATCCCAGCAGAAAACCCAAGTGAGTCAAGCTCAAGATCTTGAGGAGAAGCTGCAGCAGGAGATCACTGAGCTGCGGAGGAAAGACGCTGAGCTGCTGCAGCTCTCTCACACCGAGGACCACCTGCATTTCCTAAACAACTACCCCTACCCCTCACTGTCACGTCTGAGTGAGTCTGAAGACTTACCCAGCATTGATATCTGTCCTCTGCGCTTATTTGAGGACGTGACCGCGGCGGTGTCAAAGACCAGAGATAAACTGCAGGGTGTTGTGACTGAGGAGTGGGAAAACATCTCTCTGGCAGTGACTGGAGTGGATGTTTTAATGACCCAAGCAGAGCCCAGAACCAGAGCTGAATTCAGGACATATTCTCGTCAAATCACATTGGATCCAAATACAGCACAGAGGCAGTTGTCATTGAGTGACGGGAACAGGAAAGCAACACTAATGAAAGTAGATCAGTCATATTCTGCTCACCCAGACAGATTTGGTGAAAGATGGCAGGTCCTGAGTACAGAGGGTCTAACTGGACGTTGTTACTGGGAGGTGGAGAGGAGCGGGAAAGCTCTTATAGCAGTGGCATACAAGGATATTAACAGAACTGGGACATTTAAGGAATGTGGATTTGGAAATAACAAATCTTGGGCATTAGTGTGTAACATTGGCGGTAAATATACATTCTACCATCAATATATTTCTACTCCCATCTCAGGCCCTCCGTCCTCCAGAATAGGAGTGTACCTGGATCACAGAGCAGGTTCTCTCTCTTTCTACAGCGTGTCTGACACCATGACCCTCCTCCACAGAGAGCAGGCCACCTTCACTCAGCCTCTCTTTCCTGGGTTTGGGCTTTCAAACACTCCTGGAAGCTCAGCGGAGTTTTGTGAGCTGAAGTAGGCGGAAGTTTAAATAGAGCAACTACACAGAGCAACTACAATATGTCCGGACTCTAACACGGCTGGGACTGGGATTTTCCCTGTTTGATTTTTTTGTCTGTGTCTTTCTATTTTAATTTAGATAAAACAATTTTGTTTGTTGAAGTTGTGATTTGTACGTTATATTTTCTCAACATTTTCATTACATAATATGCTTGGAAAAGTCCAACATTTACAAAATGTCTAATCTAATTTGATATAAACAGGTGTAATTATGTAAAAATGTATGACGAATGTATTTGGATTCTTTATAACATGTAAAATATAATTTAGTATGACACATAATGTCTGTCTTTACATTGTAACACGTTTTAGGAATCTTTTATAAAAAGTATATGTTCAAATCTGTACAAATAAATGAATAAATCGATGAGTTGTCACCATTTTATCAGCAAACTTCTATTATTTAAAAAATTACTTTTGTCGGTTTTTTTCTACTGAGTTTCAATCATTCAGTTTTTAAGGAGGAGGCGGGCCGCAGCATGAAAACCTGAAATCACAGCTGACTGCAGGAGAGAGGAGAACCATTTTAAAGTTTGGCTGCAGCACAGTGATTGGCTGCTGCTGGAGAATGAGGTGAATGTAATAGGTTATAGACAACGCCCGTGATGAGCTGATTATATGCAGCTGTGGAGTGAATGTGTATATACCCAGTCTTCCTGAAAGAACTTGCGCTGAGCTTCATTTAATTCAAGTGTCTCAGAAATCAGTGACACATGGTGACAGTGAATTTTATACTGTGACAGTCCAAGACGTCTTATATATTCATTTAATTCATTTCTTATTTGAACAGTTACTTACCTGAATATAATTGTATCTTTAATTGTATTAATTTGTGTGAATCTGTGCTGTTTTTCAATCTCCAGTGTTGCTGTTTAAACTCTTGAATTTCCCCACAGGGTTTAATAAAGGTCTATCTTATTTTTATCTTACTCACAGGAATACATTGTGGGGAAACTAGACATCTTTTTCTATTCAATTTATGGATTTCTTGGCCTGTAATAAAAAACAAATGCATCGCAAGAACAGGACAGAGCTATGTTTCCTGACAAGCTTTTATTTTGAAGGCGTGACTTCCGGGGCCCACCTCGCCGCAGCTTCAGGTTACAACACTTGCAGGTTCCTGCCACAGTTACGTCTGTGTTTTGACAGCCAGCAGCCAGGCAGCAGGATATATCTGCTCCCCTCGAAGGCTGCACTTCTTTACAGCGTTTTGGACTCCGAGAAGCACCAAAGAAATGACTTTACCGTCGAGGATTTAGCAAGTTTTGTGTTGTTTTGTACTTTAATCCTTCCTGAAAGTGAGCTGAACGTCGCACTTATCACCATGAGAAGCAGGAGCAATTCCGGCGTAAAGCTGGACAACTATGCCCGGATGGTGCACCAAACTATCCTGAGACACCAAGTGAGTATTTTATAGTGTTCTAGTCAAATTCACAGTTAAATAAAAGTACATTATCATCTGTTCCATGCTTGCATACAGGTTATGTTCGCTGGTGCAGTGGCAGCAGTGTTTCCATATTGCGCAATGCATCTTTACACACATGCACACTACTGTATATTACACACTCATTACTTGTTACAGTGTGTGTGTCTTCATGAAGCTTTAAAATATTATTTTGCACTTGCACTTTTCACTTGACTCTCATTCAATACATTATATGTTCCCAAGTATGAATTATTTTCATGATGGATTAGTCTGCCGTGTATTATCTTGATGAATTAGTTATTAATGGTATATAAAATGTTAGAAAATAGTGAAAAAATGTCCAGTTAAGTTCCCCTCAAGTCCAAGGTGTGCTGTGTTGTTTAAAAAACAAATGCATGTCTTTGACTGGCTGCATACAGCATTTTCTGTTTGCATTCTTCCTTGAAAAATGACTTCAATGATTCATTGATTACAAAAACAAATAGTTGGCCATTATTGTTCTCTACGGACTAATCATTGGCATGTCACACTTAACTTTGTAAATAGTCAATATTACATTACATACATGCGTTTGCTGACGCTTTATCCAAAGCGACTTACAATAAGTGGCATTCGCCAAGAAGATACAAACTAGAAGAAAACAGAATCATATAAGTACATCAGGTTTCATAGAGCCAAAACATTTCAAGTGCTACTCAACTGGCTTTAGATAAAGCCAGTCCTTTGTTAGTATATAAGTGCTTTGTTAGTAATTGTATTGCTCGAAGTGGAGTCAAAGGAGATGAGTTTTCAGTCTGCGCCGGAAGATTGTAAGCTTTCTGCTGTCCTGATGTCAATGTGGAGCTCATTCCACCATGTTGGAGCCAGGATAGCAAACCAACATGTTTTTGCTGATGGGAACTTGGGTCCCCCTCGCAGTGCGGGTGCAGCGAGCCGTTTGGGCTGATGGCAGAGCGGAGTGCACGTGCTGGGGTGTATGGTTTAACCATGTCCTGGATGTAGGAAGGGCCAGATCCATTCACGCATGGTACGCAAGTACCAGTGTCCTTGAAGTGGATTCTAGCAGTTACTGGAAAGCCAGTGAAGTGAGCGGAGGAGCGGCGTGGTGTGGGAGAATTTGGAAGGTTGAAGACCAGGCGAGCCGCTGCATTCTGGATGAGCTGCAGAGGTCGGATGGCACATGCAGGTAGACCAGCCAGGAGGGAGTTGGCAGTAGTCTAGGCGTGAGATGAACGAGAGCCTGGACCAGAAGTTGTGTCACTTTCTTCTGGGTCAGATGGGGACGTATCCTCCTGACGTTGTAAAGAGTGTATCTGCAGCCAGCGGCGGGTTTGTGGCAGCGATGTTTGCAGTGAAGGACAGCAAAATACCTGGCTTTTAGAGCAAAAATCCAACAACTACATGCTATCTTATGTAAGTCAATAAAGACACCTATGAGGAGAAGAAACATTCTGAATTGGGGTTTAATCCTGATTATTTAGCACAGCAATCATTTGTCGTGGAGTTTGGGGATCTCACCTTTCAGTTATGTGCTCTTTGTAGATCTATATAAACTAGTTAAAAACTGTAAATGGAAGTGCTGAATTTGGAGTGAAGTCATCGTTGAATGGGCTTATGGGAAATGTTATTAAGTGATATGTTACAGATACTAAACTTTAAGGAAGTTGCTTTAATTCTGCAAAGGAAAAAAAAAAAATGTTGCTAAAGGAGAAGACGTGTACATATACTTTTTTACACATATTTATGGGCCCCTCTGTTTTGTTAACCATTGACCCATGACCTTTGACCTCTCTCTGTGTCTGACAGGATCCAGTGACGGGTCTGCTGCCTGGCAACTCGGATCAGAACCACTCGTGGGTCAGAGACGAATGTGTACTGCATCCTCTCAGTGTGGGGGCTCAGCCTGGCCTACAGGAAGAACGCTGACCGCGACGAAGACAAGAGGCCAAGGGCCTACGAACTGAGCAGGTAGCTGCTTGCGTGCGTATGCGTGCGTACGTGCGTACGTGCGTGCGTACGTGCGTGCGTGCGTGCGTGCGTGCGTGGCGTGCGTGCGTGCGTTCTGTAAAAGAAGACAGTGGAATAGTGTGGTGCTGTGATAACGTGACTTATGTAGGTTGACCCGGAAGTTAGCAATGCAAGGGGTCTCTCAACAAAAAGCAAGGGATTTTTCCATTGGATTATTGCTAACGCACGTTTATGATACTTACATGTTTTGTTAAGCAGAATAATCTCCACATATTAACACCACTTCTAATAAATGTTGATGCATACATGTAGTCTTGAGAAGTACAAAACAAAGGTTATGATATAAAGGCAACTACAGCACTTTCACATGACTTCATGTCACCACCGCTAAGCTAAAGGCGGCTAATGCAGTAGTAGTCCTCATATAGACTCTTGGGTAGCAATCGCAATACACATAAGAAATTCAGGACATTCACCAGCCGCGGTATTTACTTGACATATTTAATGTTATAAAACAAAATGTTAGCTCAGATTGTGTTAACCAAAGATCTTATTCAGGCGTCTAACTAAAAACCAATCAAAAAAGCCTTGATGAGTGTACCCGAAAGTGCTCAAATGCTAAGTTTCTGGGCTTAGGTCTCATTCCTTGCTGCGCCACTCTATTAAGTGTGTATTATGTTTTACACTTTAGTCCATGTCCGTAATGTTCTCTAAACTGAAAACCAGATGCAATGTGTGGAAAAAAGTTGATTTTAATCTCTTTCTCTTCAGAGCGTGGTGAAGCTAATGAGAGGCATCCTTCAGTGCATAATGAGACAGGTATGTTCTCTCAAATACCCCTTCTTTGTTTTTCACGATACATACATTGTTGAGTTTTTATACCGCTTCCTTCCTTGTGATTTCTTCTATAAACACGTTATTATTTGCTGTATTTGTAGATGGATAAAGTGGAGAAGTTTAAATACAGCAGAAGCACCTCAGACTCGCTCCATGCTAAGTACAACACCAACACCTGTGCTCCGATAGTGGGAGACGATGAGTGGGGTCACCTGGCAGGTCGACGCCACCTCCCTCTTCCTGCTCTTCCTCGCTCAGATGACTGCTTCCGGTAAATATAGGAAAAACAGGATATTTTTGCAGGTTAAATCTTAAATTAATCTGGGGCAAATCCAGATCATCCGGAGTTAATTTCTGGCGTATTAATTTAAAATGTATCTGAGAGCATCTGATTTAGTTCAACAAAAAAAAACAAGATCAAGGATATTTGAGTTAATGTGAAGGAAACATGGTACTGAATGTGGTGTTATGAAACTTAAGATTTATTTTACATTCAGTTATATAAAAGTAAGTGTTATTTTTGTCTTCTATTTTCAGATTTAGACATAGATTGATCATACTAGGCATATCAGTGTATTATGTTTCATAGCACTTCTTCATTCCAGCACAGACAAATACTTGAATGCCTGCAATTAACTATTTACGTACAATCTAATATAAACCTTTTCTGTATTTGTGTGTGGCGCACCAGGTCTCCATATCGTCTACACTCAAGATGAAGTGGACGTAGTTCAGAATCTCATGTTCTACATCGAGACGGCTTACAAAGTGGCTGTAAGTGTCCTTCCATTGTCAAAGCCCTAGAAGCAAATCCACTTATGGCGCTTTCCCACTCGCTCGGCTTAATACGGTATGGCTAGGCCTCGTTAGGCCTTGTTAGCCAGGCTCACTTTATGCCTGCATTTCCATTACAGTTTAGGAACTGGGGCAGTAACTATAGTAACGCAGTGTAGGCGTGAGCCGTGACGTCATCTTCAATGCGAACCACAAAACCAACATCAGCCGTTAGCTGTTAGGCACTCAGAGCTCACAGCTCCTCATATCTGTTCAGAAGCATCCATGCAAGGACAAGAAGATTCGGAGACAGTTGGCTTCCCGGCGGGCAGTGAGACTGTTAAAAAATGTAACTGTTGAAACAACTATATAATAACTATTTTTCTTTTTGTATTGCTCTTGCTCTTATTGTTATTATGTTGGCATTGTTTGGAGAAGCCTGTGACATAAGATTTTCAACTACATAATTACTCTGTGCTATGTCAGATTGACAATAAAGAACCTTGAACCTTGAACCTTGAGAAACTAGACAGAGTGAAACAAGTACAAAACCACAAGTTGTCTGTGTCATGGCGAGTACAGTCCGCTGGTTTTATTTATGTCTGTCGGCCGTGTTGTGAGTGTGGACGGTCGGAGCATACACTGCGTCTTGATCCTGTAATGTGACATTTAACTCTATCTTTTTCCTTCTGGTTCCTCACAGGATTATGGGATGTGGGAGAGAGGAGACAAAACCAACCAGGGGCATCACCGAGATTAACGTCCAGCTCTATAGGCAGGCTAAGGTTAATACATGCACCCAGCACCACACACACACACACACAACACACACACACACCCACACACACACACACAACACACACACACACACACACACAACCACACACACACACACACACACACACACACACACACACACACACACCACACACACACCCACACACCACACACACACACACCCACACACACACCACACACACACACACACACACACACACACCACACACACACACACACAACACCACACACACACACACCCACACACACACACCACACACACACATAACAGGTTCCAGTAAAACTCTCTGGCTGTTTAGATGTCTAGTCACTGCTGCTGGCCTTTAGGCTTACCTTTAATGGCCCGGACTCTCCAAACTGACTCAGGATCAGATGGTAGGACACTGTTTTGGAGCTGAAAGTGAAAACAGCAGCACAGATACTTTGTGATATCAGTGTAGATACATAAAGTGCTGCTGTAATGAAAATCCCTCAGTTAAAATCTCTTTTAAAGAACAGAACAGTCATTTTTAGCAATAAAGGTTTCATTTTTTTCTCTTATTTATCAAAACAAATCATATTAGGAGAAAGAGTCTTGATTCTTGTGAGGAAGTTTTCAGATAACAGGAAACTGTGTGCGTGCGATCCAGCCTGTCCTTGGCTCTCTGTGTACACGAGGCATCAGGTTCACTGTGAACCTTCAGGAATGGATCACACTCAGAAATAACACAGGACTCGCAGTACCCAGTACACACACACACACACACACACACACACACACACACACACACATACACATACACATACACACACACACGGTTTATTTTAAGACTTTGGAAAGGGGCACCCCTGCAGGACTTTCCTTGCTCCATTAATAACATCTAGTTATTCCCAATTTAGAATAATATAGAATAAAACATATGTGGATAAAGAAAAACATGTGCAATAAAAGGACAAAGTAAAATATAGATATGTAAAAATGTGTTTATTACAATATATTATGTTGTGTATTAGTACTAATATAGACATTATATTATAAAAGCATAATCCCAGTCGTTTTTATTACATCATAGTGTAATAGTTATTAAAAGGTCACATGATGTCTGTAGTCATTAAAAGGTCACATGACCTCTGTAGTTGTCAAAAGGTCACATGACGTCTGTAGTTATTAAATGGTCACAAGATGTCCATAGTTATCAAAAGGTCACATGACGTCTGTAGTTATTAAATGGTCACATGATGTCCATAGTTATCAAAAGGTCACATGATGTCTGTAGTTATTAAATGGTCACATGACGTCTGTAGTTATCAAAAGGTCACATGACCTCTGTAGTTGTCAAAAGGTCACATGACGTCTGTGTTTCCTGCAGGCGGCTCTGGAGGCCCTGGACGACCTCAACCTTTTCGGAGCGAAAGGAGGACCGGGGTCTGTGGTCCACGCTCTGGCTGACGACATCCAGCACTGCCAGGTACACACACACACACACACACACACACATATATATATATATATATATATATATATATATATATATATATATATATATATATATATAAACCTTAAATACTGACTTTTTCTCAAAATCTCAAAATTCAGACTTTCTCTCAAAATTCAGACTTTTTCTGAATACTTAAAAATGTTAATAATCACTGGTCACCAGCTTGATCTTCAATCTCAGGATCCATGTATTTGTGATCCTCTCCAGAATGGAAGTAGTCATCACATACAGAGCATCATCTAGTTCCTGAACAGTGTCCTTCACATGCTGATATCCAAGAGAGGGAGTTACACAGTCACAAGATGGAGGAATAGAAAGCAGTATTCAATGTTTACTTCAGATTAGCTCCACGTCAGAAATGAGCATGCTTGTCATATGTCTATCTCCATAGAGGCTGAATCATCATGTTAATCACATAGCTACCATATGCCTAAAACAGTCCTGATGCTCTTCTAGGTAATCATACATCTGTCATGTACACAGCTACAGTTGGGATACCTTTGTTATCATGTGGACTCTCATATTGGAAGAGTACATTCAGTATTTTCCCAACAGATGCCATGATTTATATTTATCCCTCGCTCTCTCCCTCTCCAGTCCATCCTGACGTCGATGTTACCCCGAGCCTCCATCTCTAAAGAGGTGGACGCAGGAGTCCTCGCCATCATCTCGTACCCCGCCTTCGCTGTGGAGGACATCTCCATCGTCAACAGGACCAAGGAGGAGATCATCTCCAAACTGCAGGTACGGAGAAGTGCAGAGAAACAGGAAACATATGTTCAGTCACTATCTGAAAGGTAGAAAATATTGATTCTTAGGGCTGCAGTTTAAGACTAATAGCTTGAAGAAAATGGCAGATGTGGTTTAGACCTCCTAGTTAATAAAGAACAACTTCCTGAAACTGTACAGTATTTACAACACAACATAATTTGAAGTCCTGGACTTTTTATTGTCGAGGCTGTCAAAACGTCAAGAGACGTTCTCTGGGATGAAACAGTTAAGTCTTGCATTTATATCCATTGTTGTCGCTGTAAAACAATGTTCTTTAAAGTTTGTATTCTTGGCCAAAACAAACCAGTGAAAGGATCAACAAGTAAAGTTAGAATGGGTTTGAGAAAGTGTATTTTTACTGTCGAAACTGGCTTTCAAAATTAGCTTAAAAAAGGGAATAAATCTGACACTACCCATGAGTACAATACAGGAAACAAATCATGATAAATACGTCACATGAAGACAGTATGGAAACCATACGTAATAAACCTCAGTGGGTTAGTATTTGACTTTTATTTGATGACTGATTAAAGTCCAAAAGTACATTTTAACAGATGCTGCCACACTTTATACCTCATGCATTTTTTACTCTCTGAATTTAGGGTCGGTACGGCTGCTGCAGGTTCCTCAGAGACGGACACAAGACCCCGAAAGAGGTAAACAACCATATTATTATATCATTTATTTCACTTTGTTCACATGAGTAGTAGAGAAAGTTATTCCGTGGCTTTTCTGTGTCACGTTTTCACCACCTAAAGCAGAAAATGCTGAGTAAATCCACCTCTCTCGACCAGGTGAGGAGCCCCAGTGTTATCCTGTCTGCAGTCCATTCATGGTGTCTGTTGTTCGGAGGTTTAAACTCTCTGTTTTCAGTCCGTCTCCTCCTCTCGTGTGGCTGTTCGAGCTGCATGTCAGTGTTGCTTAGCTCTCACACAAAGGGGACTGTGAGGTTGTGTTTGCTTCAATGCACTGCAGAGAAAAGGAACAGAAAAAGGTTTATTCTTTAGTTGCCAGAGGACTTCTTACTGCATCTGATCTGTTCCTTAATGCTCTGATGTTCATGTTGTAGTCATGTGAGAATGGTGTGTTTTTGTCCGACTTGTTTTCATTGTCCCAGTTATTCAGCAGCGAGACAGAGACAGGGGTTCAACGTCTAAAGGAATATTTGAAAATTAGAAAACGAGGCATATAAAGCCTACAAAAGCAATTATAAAATGGTTTTAACCCAAAAAACGTGCACTTTTATGGATTTTCAAAAGCTAAGAAGTTACGTAGAGGTTTTTTTTTTTTAACACACAAGGGTCCAAACTCCAGCGTAATAAAGAATATTTTTTGTTTTGTGAAAATAACTTGTGTGAATTAGGATTTGTGCTGCAGTGCACTAGTTCAGTTTCAAATGAAGCAAGAATGTAATCTTAAAGAAGCCCTATCAGATTCAGATCCATGGATTTTTGACCTTCTCACAGGGATCAATACAATATCACTTTTAAATGATTATATTCTACCCTCACACACATTAATGTAATTTCCTCTGCAGGATCCAAACCGCCTGTATTACGAGTCTGCAGAGCTGAAGCTGTTTGAGAACATCGAGTGTGAGTGGCCGTTGTTCTGGACCTACCTCATCCTGGACGGCATCTTCATCAACAGCCCCGAGCAGGTACTCTTCATCACTATGGACTGTATGGATACACACCTGGGGGGATTTTATAATATATGTGCAGAGATGGCGAAAGTACCCACATCCTTTACTCAAGTAGAAGTACAGATGTTTAAAAATACTCTGGTAAAAGTAGAAGTACTGACTAAACTTCTTTACTCAAGTAAAAGTAAAGAGGGCTTTGAAATGTACTTCAGTAAAAAGTACCCATAACTAGCAGCTGTTTTAAAGAGTACCTGACCTCCCTTTATATTAATAGAACAATAATGTCATTGTTAGCTAATGAATGTTTCCATGCTGAACAACGGCAAATGACAACGTTTTCATTGGTCCCTCTTCTTTAGAGAAGACCAGGAAATGATGGATACACGGATCGTGTTCAAATCAATAGGCACGCAATGACTCTAAATAATAATGATCACGCCACCAAACACACATTCAAACTAAAGGAACCAGCCTGTTTGGAAAATGTGAGAAGTAGAAAGTACAGGTATTTGGGTTCAACATGTAAGAAGTAGAAAGTACAGGTATTTGTGTTCAAAATGTAAGAAGTAGAAAGTACAGGTATTTGGGTTCAACATGTAAGAAGTAGAAATACAGGTATTTGGGTTCAACATGTAAGAAGTAGAAAGTACAGGTATTTGTGTTCAACATGTAAGAAGTAGAAAGTACAGGTATTTGTGTTCAAAATGTAAGAAGTAGAAAGTACAGGTATTTGTGTTCAAAATGTAAGAAGTAGAAAGTACAGGTATTTGGGTTCAACATGTAAGAAGTAGAAAGTACAGGTATTTGGGTTCAACATGTAAGAAGTAGAAAGTACAGGTATTTGTGTTCAAGATGTAAGAAGTCAAAGTAAAAAGTCGTCAGAATAATAAGTAGTGGAGTAAAGTACTGGTACCAGAAGAATGTACTTAAGTACAGTAACGAAGTATTTGTACTCCACTACTTCCCACCTGTGTGTCTGTGTTTCTTTCCTCAGGTGCAGGAGTACCAGGAGGCTCTGGAGGGGATCCTGATCAAACAGAAGGACGGGATCCGGCTCGTGCCTGAGCTCTACAGCGTACCTGCTGATAAGGTGAGGCGTTGGAGGGAAGCTGTAGAAAATGTGTGCTGACATATTTTTATATTGGCAATAAAAACAGTCTAATTGAGGTCCTTATATTTCAAATGGGCTTGTATTGACTGATATTGTTCTTTTCTGGTGTTTCTGCATTTTCGGATGTGTAATTAATAGGGCTGTCAGTCGATTAAAATATTTAATCGCGATTAATCGCATGATTGTCCATAGTTAATCGCGATTAATCGCAAATTAATCGCACATTTTTTATCTGTTCTAAATGTACCTTAGAGGGATATTTTTCAAGTTTTTAATACTCTTATCAACATATGAGTGTACAACTATGCTTTATATGTTTGTTTATTATCATTTGAACAATGACAAATATTCTCATGAATATTAAACACAACAACCTGAACATTACAAATATTCGCCTCAATTCAACCTGGAACCTCTCTCATACAATAGTGTGTGTGTGTGTGTGTGTGTGTGGTGTGTGTGTGTGTGTGTGTGTGTGTGTGTGGTGTGTGTTGTGTGTGTGTGTGGTGTGTGTGTGTTGTGTGTGTGTGTGTGTGTGTGTGTGTGGGTGTGTGTGTGTGTGTGTGTGTGTGTGTGTGTGTGTGTGTGTGTGTGTGTGTGTGTGTGTGGTGTGTGTGTGTGTGTGTGTGTGTGTGTGTGTGTGTGTGGTGTGTGTGTGTGTGTGTGGTGTGTGTGGTGTGTGTGTGTGTGTGTGTGTGTGGTGTGTGTGTGGTGTGTTGTGTGTGTGTGTGGGTGTGTGTGTGTGTGTGATCGTTGGAGCTATGTGCAGCTCAAGGCATATATGCCTGTGTGTATGAGCTGTGTTGCGGCACTATCCGTGCTGAGTGTGCTGTCTGGCTACCTGCATAAAGTCAAGTGCTCGGCGCAGTTGTCGGCGAAATGTCGCTCCTCTGTTTTCATTGAAACAGCTCCTTATATCCGTTAGCTCAGCTAGCTAGCACCAGATGCTAACAACAACACGTAAGGTGTGCTTCGCTCGCGCCACACATACACACACCCTCCCGGTCCTCCCGATGGCCAGTCCGGGCCTGCCGGTGAGCGTGGAAGTGTGGTCTGCCACAAGCGGGCAGCAGGAGCGGGGCTGTCAGCATCAGCTTGTAGATGGTATTTTAAACTCGATGCGCTCTGAAACTACGGCGGCCGAGGACAAAAAATACACATGCGTTAATCGCGTTAAAATAATTAGTGGCGTTCATTTTTTTTTGCGTTAACGCGTTATTAACGCGTTAACTTGACAGCCCTAGTAATTAAGTAGATTATTTGTTTTTATATAATTTAGAATCAGTAATATTTTTGTATATCAATTTTGACATTGCTTAATTTTGTACTGTATAATCATTCGCATGTTACATTTTGCATTATTGTTTTACACATTCAAATCAAATCAAATTTAGTCAAAGGAAATCAGTTTGAACGTTTGGTTTAGAGGGTTTTAGTTTTTTTGTATTTTCTAGGATTCATGCCACATTATTGCAATTGTTGTTGTTTGTTTGTTTGTTTGTGAAACAGGTGGAGGAGGAGTATGTGAACCCCCACTCTGTGGAGAGAGTCCCGATGGGGAAATGTCCTCTGAAGTGGGGACAGTCTCTGTACATCCTGGGTAACCTCCTGTCAGAGGTAAAATAATGATCTATTCTAAATAATAATAACACACTTGGGTAGATTATCTTTCCAGAACAAGTTGAAGTTTCACTTGGAAATTCCTCAGAAACTAAAACAATTATAAATATTTTTAAAGGATTATTCAGATTTGTTATTATTATTTTTTTATCTCGTCTATCTGTTTCTTTGTTTCAAAGCACAAGCAATACAGCAAACACTATTTTTTTCAATTGAATGCAAAACATAGGATATTGATTAGGTTGTGTTGTGTGATTTTATTATCCAACAAATCAATTATTGTGGATTTTGTGACTCTGGGTGCGTCTCACTTCGGTTATTTTTCATTCCCTCGCTCCTCGGGCACTGAAAGTTGATTTGTCTGCGCCATCTTGAGTAGCGTCCCAGTGGCCTTATTTGTGCCGGAGGATCGAGGGGTGATAATCGAGGAACTACCAGACCATCCTCCGGTGAAATCCTCAGACACTCGCCCCGCCCCCTTACTGTGTATCGCTCACTGATTGGACGATGCAGCGCATGCACTGATCCGGCTGCTGTCAGACGATCAGCTGTGCGGTGTCATCACAAACGGACGTCGCTTCAACGTGACGCTCCGGAGGAAACGACGTCCCATTGCTCTTAAAACTCATTTCCCTGCTTCCGTGGGTTTCCTGCGTCTCTCCATGCTTCCTTGGTGGGAGGGACTAGTCGCAGGGAAACAACGCAAGTGAGGGACGCAAGGAATCCATTTAACCGAAGTGAGATGTAGCTTCTGACTTTGACCTCTCTCCCAATTCTTCAGGGATTCCTCGCCCCTGGAGAGATCGACCCTCTTAACCGACGTTTCTCCACCATCCCCAAACCTGACGTGGTGGTACAGGGTGAGATTACAGGACAAGTTTTAGACACCAGAATAGCGTTGGAGAATCCTAGTGAAGTGCTAACAGTGTTTTATCCATGTTTAAACCTCTCCTCTCTCTTGTCGTAGTGTCGATCCTGGCGGAGACGGAGGAGATCAAAGAGCTGCTGATGAAGAACGGCATTGAGGTGGAGACGGTCGCTGACATCTATCCATCCACGTGCAGCCCTCCAGAGTCCTGAGCCACATCTACGCCCGACTCGGTACAACCTCAGAGGACATTTGAATCCTCAATAATCAAATAATCAAAATAAAAGCGCTTAAGGCCTCACCTCTGGCTGGAAGAGAACTCTCTGCTCCACAGCTTCTCTTGATAACTGGACTTAAAGGTCCCCTATCATACTGTTTTTCATCAATACATTATAGGTCTCAGATGATTGGCTGAAACACCAAACAGATCATTGCAGCATTACCCATAATCCCCTCTGTTTCAGCCCTGTTTCCAAAGTGCTGATTCTCTGTCTGTTACTTTAGATGAAAATAAGGAGCCCCTCCCCACGCCCCTCTGAGAGAGATTTGGTTACAAAGAACACAATGGTGCTCTAGGAGGAGATTCAGGTGATAAGGTGGGGGGGGGGGGGGGTTACCTTGGTTGGTGATTGGCTAATGGTTACACAAGCCAACAATTGTTATGACATCATAAAGTGGCCAAAATCTGATCAGATCATTTTCAGACAAGTTTTTATAAAAATGGATCAGGACAAAAAGAGAGAGAATCTTTGTTCCTGAAACTTTCAGAGTCTCTTTCCACAGAGGGGACACATGATGATGAAGAAGAGACATGAAGAAGAGGGGACACATGTTGATGTAGAAGAGACATGAAGAAGAGGGGACACATGTTGATGTAGAAGAGACATGAAGAAGAGGGGACACATGTTGATGTAGAGACATGAAGAAGAGGGGACACATGTTGATGTAGAAGCATGAAGAAGAGGGCACATGTTGATGTAAGAAGAGACGACATGAAGAAAGGGGACACATGTTGATGTAGAAGAGACATGAAGAAGAGGGGACACATGTTGATGTAGAAGAGACATGAAGAAGAGGGGACACAAGTTGATGTAGAAGAGACATGAAGAAGAGGGGACACATGTTGATGTAGAAGAGACATGAAGAAGAGGGGACACATGTTGATGTAGAAGAGAATGAAGAAGGGGGACACATGTTGATGTAGAAGAGACATGAAGAAGAGGGGACACATGTTGATGTAGAAGAGACATGAAGAAGAGGGGACACATGTTGATGTAGAAGAGACATGAAGAAGAGGGGACACATGTTGATGTAGAAAA